GTCACAGGATCTTTCCCACTGAAATGCTTTTTCAAGCAATTACAAAAAGAGGAGTGGAGAGAGGGAGGATCTGCACAATAGATCTGCTCATTGTTGTTGAACTTCCTACAGCAAGGACTTCCAAAATTAAAGAAGAGCTGAAACTTTATGCAACTGGTGGGATTTCAGTTCCTCATAAGGATGCAGGACTAATATTCATTTTGTGCTTTCCTTAAAAACAATCTAATACAGCACTCTGAAAAGCACTTTGTGGCCACTGGGTCTAGTTGCTGTTATAATTTTCATAAAGCCATGAATATATGCCATTTCAGGTCATACTGCAAAATGTAAATAGTAGACTGAACCAGTCTACTATTGGAATTTGGTAATGCTTATCAATATTTTGCTGTCTTCTATTCTTCCTGCCAGATGAGTTAACCAGCTCTGTGAAGGAGGAAGATGATTTTTCAATACTGTGTTTTTATCTTGATGTACTATTAAAGCCACATTGAGAGGATGGAGAATTTAATTTCTCTGAGCTACATTTGCTAGAAGTAAAAATTGACCACGTCCACTGCAGCTATCTTAAGTTAATATGGGTGGCCAGTTGCCAGAGAACAGGCAGTGGCCTTGCTGCCTGACTTAGAAGGCAGAGGCAATTTTATCAGCCCTGATCAACACTACATGAGGCAGATACTCCATGAGGCACCATATTTCACAAGAAGAGGCTAAGAGACCTGGTTTCGTTAGAGTTCCTTGAATGGGAGCAGTCCAGAACATTGCCTCATCTTCCCCTTGTGGTAAGGACATAACAGATTGCTAGTGCATCCTGATCTCGCTAACAGTGCTAGACTTTGCCTTCACAGTTTTCTGCTGAAGAAGTAATCGTCTCCCTCTCCCCCCACACACATACACACAAAATTTCCCCTCGCTAAGCAAAGCACAAACCTCCAACATCAGCAGCTTATTGAGGGGAGCTGGCAAATAAGCACCTCCAGACGCAAGACAGGGTTCACCTCGGGCCGGGGCTCTGCCAGTACAACTTCCTCCATTTTAATAGTTTAATAAAAATTAGCATAATTAACGAACATCTGTATGATCCAGAGCGGTGTAATTTGGCACTTGGAAATGAGAGCTTAAACATTATTGCTGGGAGTTTAATGTTGTTTTAATTCTTTTTGGCACAGTGCAGGGAAATAAAGTGCCCAGTGCCGATGGTTCTCAGCTTGTGCTCATTTGCATTCCATTCTTCCTTTCTTGATTATGAGCAATCGCCAGCTCCCAGCAATCCATCAACGCTGAAATTGTTTTAAAATACTTCATGGTGCTCAGGCCAAGGCAATGTATGGAAAGTGGACTGGATCTTAATCTTTGCTTTACCATCCCGCCACATAGTGCTGTTCCCTTTTCTCTGTGACTTTCTTCAATCTTGGATTTCACTTACACATCATGGGTTGTTTCATGATTACAGTCTGATGACTGGAGTAGAATGTGTGAATAGACTTAGCTGAAAAGCATTGTGCCTGAAAGGACATCAGGTGAGAGGAAAGATGTGAATATCTGTGATAATTAATTCATAATGACTCATTTGCCAAGTTAGTTGCCATGTTGTGAATCAACAAGTGATGAACATAGATGCCTAGAAACAACCCATAATGTTTATGCCAGTGGCTGCTGAAATAAAACTTGTGTGAAAACATTTTTTATTTCACTGTTTCATTTGTACTACCTGTAGGAGAGAGCTGTATCTGAAGAGGAATCCCTCTGAACATATTCAGAAGAACTCTCATATTGACCATTATATCAAATATCATTTTATCTATTCAAGGAGCAAATTGCAGAGCAACATAATTTCACCATTAACTAGGTGAATTTTTTAGGAACATATTCTCACAGGCAGGAAGAAATCCAGTAATAAAAATGCGACAAACCAAAATGCCATCCCAAATAGAGTACTTTTTTATTTGGGATTTTGGCCATAGAACATTCTGTTCTCTTTGCCTGCAAGTGGAGAAATACACGGTTGGATTTCTGAAAAGTTCCTTTCTCATAAAAAAAACTAGTATATCAGTGTGAAGTCTGGTTTACACTGTTCTCCCTAACATACTTACTTTCTGTGTGCAGATAATTTTACCCATACAGGACAATTTGACTTGCAGTACTATGATCTAAGAAAAACATTATTTATGTATTTGGTGGTAATGTAAACTTACTCCATTTTGCTCTGTTATTATTTGAGGAATTTTCTGTCATGGCCCCTCTTTTTTCCTAAAATGAATATTTCCAATAATATACTTCTGAACCTGATATATAAAATTGCATACATATAAATGGACTTGGGCTGGAGGCCATGGCTAAAATTAACTCTGGTAATATCACTCCTATTATATTCTCTTTGAAGGAATTTATGTTTGCTTTTGTGTAAACCATAACCTAGAAAGCCAGTGTGATCTAATGGTTAAGAAACTAAGCTAGAAACCAGGAGACTATGAGTTCTAGTCTCTTGGCCCATAGCAGTCAATGACTTTCAGCCGTTCTCTTTCAACTCTAGGAAACAGGCAGTGGCAAACCATTTCTGGAAATATTTCCAAGAAAACTGCAAAATGAGTCCAGACAGTTGCCAGAAGGCAATGCTGATTCAAAGGCACCTAATTTTTTTAAAAAAATATCATTGGCTGGTTTATTGCCGATCTGAGGAGAAAGCCCTAGAAAAACCATTATCCAGTAAGCCTCTTAGTAAGTTCTGGCAATAAAAGCAATATACAATCCAAAGCAACCTAGAACTAAGGAGAAACTTCCTAACAGTTAGAACAATTAACCAGTGGAACAACCTGCCTCCAGAGCTGTGAATGCTCCAACACTGGAAGTTTTTAAGAAGAGACTGGACAGCCATTTGTCTGAAATGGTATAGGGTTTCCAGCCTCAGCAGGAGGTTGGACTAGATGACCTCCAAGGTCTCTTCCAACTTTATTATTATTGTTGTTATTATTGTTATTATTATACCTTTTGATATATGAATTTTCCCATTCGTTTAGGTTTTTTTTCCAGAGGTATCAAGGCAACATGTATATACTAGGCTACGGTTCTTAAGAGTCTTTGGGGAAGCCATGATAATTAAACTCATATATAAACTAATTCTCCAACACTGTGGTTAATGCAAATTAAATGCCAAAGGTGAGTTAAATATAGATCTGTCCATTGGCTCATTAGACTGACTAACTAACAAGGCCAGATGGTCCTAGAAACTAAGATATACAAAAAGAGATTGAAGAGACCAGGTTTGTTAGCTTTGAGAAAATATGATTGAATCCAGAATGCAGGACATGGAATAATGGTATTAAATCAAATTCTGATCAAATGTTATAAAACCTCCTAACAGTAAGAGTAGTGGAGCCATTTATCCACACAGCTCTCTTTCACTGAATGTGTTCAAGAGAGGCTAGACAGCCATCTGTCTGGAATGCTTTAATTGGGATTCCTGCACTAAGCAGGGTGGCCCTGGGGACCTAAAAAATCCCTTCCAGTTCTGTGATTTTGAGGCACAAACACCAAAGGGCAGAAATGGGTATATCAAGTGCCAAAGGGGGATGAGATGAAGAATAGAAGTTTGAAAAAGACAACTCCTGGATCTGTTCTACATTGATCAAACCCCTCCTGATCAGAATGTTGAAGTTTACAGAGAAAATGATGCCCTGCAGAAACATTGTAATAGGCTACTCCATTCCAAAATAGGTTACAGCAGATCTTGATTTGTTGATGGAGCCACAAGTCCTGTACATAATGTTTTTAGCCTACCTTGACTAGGAAGCTCCAAGGAGAGGAAGCAAGACCATTGCAGACTGCCAACTTGGTACTGCTGAATTGCTGACTTTTTTGAAAGGGTAGGCTGGTGGAAACCCCTGATATCTTTAAGTAACATTGGCAGAAAATCTTGCCTAAAAGCAGGGGACTTGCTGCCTTTCACTATTAATAATCCTCATCTAGCCTCTCCCCCATCTCTCTCTATATTATATACATGTATACATATGCATGTATGTGTAAACATACATGAATGTGTATACACACACACAATGTATATGTATATGTCTGTGGGGAAGCATAGACACACAAAAACACACACACATGCCAATTGCTTCAGCGCTTAAAGATTAAGACTTTCATCTAACCCAACCAAAGTCCAAAATTCTAGTTAAAATGAAAATAGAATGCAATGTACTATATTTCATAATAGACTAACAAAGAAGGTAAGCGGATTGAAAGTCCTGTATTAGATGTGAAGAATCTGTGGCCCTTCAGGTGTTACTAAATTACTGCTCCCAGCAATCCCAGTTAATATAGCTAAATGGGGAGGGATGCTCAGGATACTTCAGCAGCATCTATTCTAGACGGATACAAATCCACCTCCCATGTCTTTGATAATCCATTGCTACATCGCATATACTGTGCATTGTTTTAGTCTACTTACACCTGGAAAACATGTATAGGAATTGCATATATAAAGAAGCTAAATAGTTCTGAAACCTACCACACCACATTTCGTTTAATTTTCAGACCGTTCCCAAAATATATATTCCCAAGTGACTTTTTCCCCAGTCTTCACCTTGTTAATTTGCAATTGGAATCTATCTATCGAAAAATTATCATGGAAGGGGGGAATAACTCTGGACATTAGAGGAAAGAAAAAAAGCAAAGCATGTCTGGCTCATCCATGTTTATAATAGTTTCTGCTTTCTGAAAAGAAAAACAGAAGGTGAAGTAACTAAACAGCAATAGTAATAATGACAGTATTTATGTAGCAATATATCTGACAACACTATAAGATGTCCCCATATTTAGACAATATAAATGAAAATAGGCAATATTTTGGCCTATTTAAAGATAAAAACATTTGTATTAAAGAGACAGATGGAGGAAAGAAGTATGCATAAAATGATCTGTGCCAGAAACAGAAATCTTAGCTCTATCCCATCAAGTCTCTATACTCCATTATTTCATGAATGCTGCTGGTACTTTCTTTCCAGGAATATAACATGTATGGTTGGTGGGTCGGAGAACTGAACAACATGGTAGGGATTGTCCCAAGGAACTATCTCATGCCTGCCTATGATTTGGAAGAATGATGAACAACAGAAAAAGGTAAGGAAAATAAGGAAAGCAGTGCTTATAGTGTTATGCTTCAGCTTCTCACTCTGGATGATTCTCTTTTGCAAGCGGTTTTCCATGCTCTCATACAAGTTCCATTTATCTCTTTAACGCTCTAGAATTTTCCAGTGAACTGTTCCATGGATCCAATAGCTTTTTCAGGCCCAAAATCCACACATTATTAATTATCACCACTGTCCTAAAATCAGGACCTCAATGTGAGTAGAGCCAGTACTTTAAACACTTTGTTCTAGACTGTAATCCCAATGAAAATCCACATATACCCACACAACTATCATTTGCCCTGGTGAGAAAATGCTGTTGATAATCAAAATATACTCCTTCATTCCCTGAAAACCATTAGTATATGACAGCATCCCTAACCCGATTAAACCAATACATTATATATATTGTCTGGTGGTGGCTATCCAGAATTTTCCAGCTCAGTTTGGTTAAGGTAAGGACTGAATTTTGATTTTCTAGATGCAGAGCATGTGTTCAACCACTGAGCTATGATTCCTTCATAGGGTATGTTATGATGTCATTTGAATTTCAACCTCTCTCCCCAGTGGGTCATAATTTGTAAAGCACGTAATAAATGTAGGTCTCTATTTGTAATATGTAGTATGACCACTCCTTTGCAGTATATAATAAGATCTGAAATCCTTTAATGGTAGTGGCTACCTTACCTTTTTCAAAGTGAGGCAATATAGAAGAAACACAGCAGAACATATAGCCTCAAAGAAGGAATAATTGGGTTGGCTAATTGGGCTTTCCCTCTGCATTCTGATGTCGGCAATGTAAATAGTATGCCTCTGTCTTCAGCTGGTTACTAAACATTCTCTTGCCAAAGCTATTAATGCTTCATCAGCTTTCAATCTTCCCTCAGGTACTTTACAGTAAAGTGAACAACGCTTAAGAGACTTGAAAGACATAGTGTAATGTTTTAATAACTACCAAGAGGTGGTGCTAATAGTAAACTATGTTTGTAAGAAACATGACCCAGAGAAAAGAAGTGGCCTAGAATCATGGACATTTGATAAGGAATTAATGAATTAAAGGTAGCCAATTACACATGTTTTCTGTCAACAATCTGGTTTCAAGATTCCTTAGATACTGTGAAGAGTTACAATAACATTGTCTTCCATGATTGAAAGAAAATACTTTATGTTTCTTTTTAAAAAGACTTGTTCTGTATAGAAGGGGAAAATTATTGACTGTCAACTAAAGAACTGATCCTGATTAATTAGGTTTAATGAAGAGCACTGTGTAAATCTAAAAGCTTGCCTCTATTCTCACTAATAGAAACTGGCTCAATATAAATGATTGATTACCTTCCTAATCACATATGTCTTCTTAAGAAATTCAAAGATGTCTACAATTGCTTTATAAAAAAGACAGTTCTTAAGTCATAATTAGAAGAGAGATTATATACTCACCAAGTGCTGAAGATTGCCCTGAAGTGGAAGTTCAGGCCATAATTCAAGATATTCTGGAATGGCTGATATATAAGTGGTCAAAGAAAGGAATGTTATCCATGCTCAGAAGTGTACTGACGCTTATTGTATTGTACAATCCAAATCCAAATCTTGGTACTGAAAAAAAATTCAGGAGCTAAATTTTAGTGAATTTTAGCTAAATTTGAACTTTGACTTCTCTGGCTTTGCATTATTAAGAACAATTTTATCCAGTCCAGGAGGAAGGCCAGAATCTGAACATGGAAAAGCCATATAACCTCTTACTGTTTTTTTCAATTTCAGCCTGAATTAAACCTGAAGGAATATTGTCTCTGGCTCCATCTTCTGGCCTCTTTTCTTTGCAGAAGTGAGTCAGAAAGTCCCCATGTTTGAAGAAAGCATTGAGTACTGAGATAGATATGAAAAGAATCTAGTAAGTCCCAAGAGACAGTGAAGTATCAGTGTCCACAGCAGATGGAAGAAGGCAAGAGACAAAACATGAGTCATGTCAGATGTTGGGACAGAAGTACACAAAGGCAGGATTTGCATTGTGACATGACCATGTGCCTTTTGTTTTTATATTATGTTGGTTTGTTGGATTCCTGTGGCCTGAAGACAGAATAGGTTACATCTGGAAGGGACCATGGAGGTGTTCTAGTCCAGCCTCCTCCTCAAGCAGGAGAACCTATACCATTTCAGAAAAGTGACTGTCTAGTCTCTTCTTAAAAATCTCCAGTGATGGAGCGCCCACGATTTCTGAAGGCAAGCTATTCCACTGGTTTTATAAAGCAGTACGAATACTTTGTGTGATCTTGATTCTATGCCTCTGTTTATACAACCCAGGACTATATTAGCTGGTTGACAAACTATACTCAACGAGTAGTCCTCAATGGTACTACATCCACATGGAGAGAAGTAAGCAGTGGGGTACCACAAAGCCCCGTCTTAAGCCCAGTACACTTTAATATCTTCAGAAATTATTTAGATGAGGGAATAGAAAGAGACCTCATCAAATTTTCAGTTTATCAAAATGAACCTTAATGTGGAGAAAAGCAAAGTTTTATATTTATGCAGGAAAAATCAAAGGTATAAATACAGATTAGGCAAGACCTGGCTCAAAAACAGTAACTGTGAGAGGGATCTTGGAGTCCTAGTGGATGATCACTTGACTATGAGCCAGCAGTGTGCAGAAGCAGCCAAAAGAGCTAATACAATCCTGAGTTGTATAAACAGAGGCATAGAATCACCATCATACGAAGTATTCGTTCTGCTTTTTAAAACCCTAGTAAGACTACACCTGGAATACTGCAAATAATTTTGGTCACCATATTACAAAAAAGATGTTGAGACTTTGGAAAAAGTTCAGAGAAGAGCAACTAAGATGATCAAAGGCCTGGAGACTAAAACATATGAAGAATGGCTGCAGGACTTGGGTTTGGCTAGTCTGAAGAAAAGAAGAAACAGGGTGACATGATAGCAGTATTCCAGTATTTGAGGGGATGCCACAAAGAAGAGGTCATCAAACTATTCTCCAAAGCACCCGAGGGAGACAAGAAATAATGTTTGGAAACTGACCAAAGAGAGAAGCAACCTGGAATTAAGGAGAAACTTCCTGACAGTGAAGACAATTAACCAGGGGAACAGCTTGCCTTCAGAAATCGTGGGTGCTCCATCACTGGAGGTTTTTAAGAAGAGACTGGACAGCCACTTGTCTGAAATGGTGTAGGTTCTCCTGCTTGAGCAGGGGGCTGAACTAGAAGACCTCCAAGGTCCTTTCCAGTTCTATTCTATTCTAAGCTTTTTTGGCTGCTGTTGCACACTACTGGCTCATATTCAAGTGATCATACACTAGGACTCCAAGGTCCCTCTCACTGTTACTGTTTTTGAGCCTGGTCTTGCCTAATCTGTACTTATACCCAGGGCTTTTTTTATCATAGAATGCCCAGAACAAAGTTCTGGCACCTTTTTTGGATGGAACTTTGTAGGATAGGCAAGGCGGGTTGTATGACGTGTGTGAGTTCCGGCACCTTTTTTTTTTTTAACAAAAAAAGCACTGCTTATACCTTTGATTTTTCCTCCCTAAATATAAAATTTTGCTTTTTTCCACATTAAAATTCATTTGGTTGGATAGCGCCCATTGTTCAAGTCTATCAAGATCTTTTTGGATCCTGAGCTTGTCTTCTGGGGTGTTGGCTATTCCTGCCAGTTTAGTGTCATCTGCAAATTTGATGAGTTCTCTTTCTATTCCCTCATCTCAGTCATTTATGAAGATATTGAAAAGTACTGGGCCTAAGACCTGTGGAACGCCACTGCTTATTTCTCTCCATGGGGATGTAAAAGGCATGAATAGCAGTTGACTGTGCTTCAAAGGTCCATTAAAAATTTTATTGAATGTGCTCAACCTGTGGCAGGGATGTTTCAGTTAATACTGGCAATAGGGATATGTGATATTCCTGGACAGGAGAGGATTCTGTAAAATTCACTATGGCATGACATCATATGTTTTACTCCTTGTTCTCAATTTGTTAGCCTAAGGCTTGAGACCCTGCCTTAGGAGTCTACCTCTGCTTTCATGTACATTCTTCCTGTTCCATAGATTGCAGAACGCAATGTTAATACATTCATTATGCTGCCCCCATGACCAAATTTTACAAAGTTTAGAGAGAACTATATTTACATCTGCATGGAAAATTTGAGCAGAACCTGTGCATGAAATAAAAATGTTCTAGTGGGGTCAGCTGGATATTAAGCATTAGCCCTGCACAAGTGGATGAAGGAGATGAAAGGTTTTTCTTTAGATCCCTTTCCATATCTCCTGCAGAACTGGTGAATGAATATTGGGACTGGCTCATCCATAACAACAATGCTCATCACCTACAAATGCCATTAAAGGCCAAAACAAAAAGGTCCTGATTGACCGGTAAACCCAGATTTGACCCCAAGGTTGGTAGCAACCAGAAATGGTGACTAGAAGGTCTGTGTAGTAAACAAAATTGCCCACCAGATGCAGAAGGTAATGAAACTATTAACTAGCAAGGATAGGTAAAGCCTCTTGTTAGAAGATCAGTGATTTTTGACCAAGCTGGTAACTAATAGCTAGTAATATGCCATTTCCTTTCGTGCTTTAAATAAACTTTTTATGAAGAAGGGCTAGTCTATTTTTTTAAATCAAGGTTCTGCTGTTCTTTCATTAAGCACATTTAAAAATAGATATATTTCCAGAAGAACAACAGATCTATGTCAGTTAGAAATTGACTGAATGTATAAGACCATGAACGATCAACCTGCCTGTTGTTTTTCTCAAATGAATATTCAAATTGATTTTACGTTTATTCCCAGATTATGTATATTTCTCTTTCCATCTCTTTGTTTTGCCATCACAATGAAGATAATTCGTGGGTTCTCCTGGCTATTCATAAGAAACAGATGCACACCTGCAGAAGTTGACTCCATCAACCCTTTGTCCTCCTTTATATGGAAATATAATGTTTTATTCCTTAACCTTTAGTCATTATGTGTTTTCATTCTTCTGGAATTTTATTCACAGGCCACAATCATCAGGCATGCCAGCTGTATACTGTACTTCAGAAGATTTGCCACTATGATTTTGGAAGAAAGAATCTGTTTTCTCAGAACTATCAAAAAGTAAAAGGATGTCTTGCTGATATTCCAGAATAAATACTATTGTCACTTTCTGATTGGAAAGTGTTTATTATGCTGGAATGTTCCTTTTTAATTAGCTGGTCAATTTTTATTGGGCCACAATGCACCAGTAGTGAATATAATTTTTAGAATAAAATACTCAAATAAAATGACTGAAAAGGAAGAAATTTAATTCAGATCAGAAAAATGCTCAGGGTCATTTTCAATAAATATAAGTACGAATAAAGTTTAAAGGCAATCTGCTTGGGTTAATGTTTAATTTAAAAAAAAAATTCAACAGAATCTTTAGAATAAAAGTATAGTCAACATTTTCCTGGCTGTAAAATTTGATGTAATTGTTGAGAACACATAGTTCTTAAACTGGAAAAAAAAAGTTTGTGTTGTTATTCCTTATGCAGTTTATTATTCAGTTTTACACATATACTTTTATCTTTCTATAAATGTATTTAAGACAACTAACAACAGTAAAATTCAAAATAAAAATGTGACCTAAGAAATAATTATTTTTTTTAATTTTTTAAATAATTTGAAAATATATAAAAATCAAATGGAAGTATACTTAAAATAATATTAACATTAAAAAGCAAGTTACAAACACAACACAGCAGAAAAAAAAATAAAGGAGTTAAATGGATGAAACATCAATTTATATAAAAATGAGGTAATGTTTTTCCAACTTAGAAACTTTAAGATGAGTCAATTTCATTTCAAATTCCCCAGCAGCCTGCTTTAGAATTTTACAGAATTATGTATGATGTAAAAAGCATGCTGACTGGAGAATTATGGGAGTAAAGGTCCACATGTGCTAAAACTGACAGGTTTGAAAAATACTGAAACACAGTAAATGAATCTCCCTTGATAAGAATTCCAGAATCTGACCCTAGCTTTAAATTCTTTTTTCAGTTTCCACCAAACACACATCCCACAGTGTCAGTAAGGGAGTATTTTTGTGAAATTTTGAAATATTGACAAGTTTATATTGTATGGCAGAGAGGCTGTTCTCTACATAATTATCACTCCCTTATAATTAACTGCCTATGCTGACCTTCAAAGGTATTTATGTATATATGTGTCATGCTTTCTCTTATATATACATACATATCTAGAGAAGTTTTTTTTTCTCTCTCCAGCAGACTCACCCAAGAGACAAGAGAAGCCTTTGGGGTGCGGTCTCAGCTCCTTCAGGCTTCTCTGGGCCAAAAAGTGTTTACAAAGGGACAGAAGGCCTGAAGATCATGAGATCACACACACACACACACACACACACACACACACACACACACACACACACAGAAGTTTTTTGGCCATTTGCAAAAGCTTTTGGTGTGGAGAAGAGAAGCCTTGGGAGTGCAGTCTCGTGCTCTTTCAGATTCACTAAGACTGCCCAACTCTCCAAAAGCAGATTGAGTGTCCTGCACAGGTAGCCTCGATGAGTTAGCAAAGCTGAGCAGACAGCTCATCCCACTCAGCCTCTGCTCTCACCTCTCCGCTTCTGGAGCATCAGGAGAGCGGCTTGGCAGCCCGGCTGGTGAGGGGAGAGGGGAACTGGGCAGCATGAGCAGGGAGGGGCAGTGTGCATGCATGTGCAGTTCCACTCATGCAAGAGAAGCCTTGGGGCACAGTGAGCGCAAGTGGGGCTGCGAGCGCCAGTGCCCCCCATGAATATGAGTGGGGCTGCGAGCACTGGTGCCCACCACTAGTGTGAGTGAGACAGTGTGTGGGAATGTGCTAGCCCGCCACTCACACAGCTCTGTTGTGAATAGGCCACAACCTGGTAGTGGGCCATAGCCCACAGGTTGGGAACCCCTATTTAATATCATCTAATGAATCTTCCAGATCTGCAACTCTTAATTGCGAGTTCAATGCAAGATGGTTGAACAAGCTGTGATATATACAGTTTGAGGTATGTAATGAAGGCAAACATCCTCAAGGGATGTGACAATCCATTGGGTTTTTTACTTGCTAGATTAATAAATAAATAAATTTGGATAAAAATATAATTTTATTAAATGTTCTGTTTTTATTTCAAAATCAAATGAAAACCCAAAGTAATCTGGCTGACTGCAAAATATATTTGCAGCCAGTTCCTATCAGGTTTATTTTCTAAAATTGGATATTTGGGATTACCGGTTTGCTTAGACTAGAAGTCATATTCTGTGCCATGGAAATCCAACCATTATTTGTAAAGACTATCTGCACGTACTTGGTAATAACAGATATGTACTGTGTGCCCGAAGACACTACTTTTTTTCATGGTTACCTCTAATTTTCTCATTCTAGCTCTAAGACCACATATTGATACACATGAATGCAGGATCTAAATAGGTTACAAATACCTTAGGTACTTTTCCTTGCCTACATCTAGATATGTGGCAGTCTTTCTTGTCTGAAAAAGGCACACTGTTGTACAGTTCAGCTGGGGACACAGAGAGGACTCTGCAGTCACAGTCTGGAAACGCAGAGTCTAGCACAATGGGGACTGTGGAAGTCCATGGCTGCAGTATTGTCACAGTGCTATTCTGTGACAACTGAGATTATAAAAGGGATCATTCCTTCCCTGTCTAATTTTGAATCTGGCAATATGCATTTTATTGAGCTGCATCTTCTATGTGGGAAAACACAGTTATGGGAGTATCACATAGAGAATATATTCCAGGCATATAAGTAATGAAAGCCACAAGATGGCAGTAGCTAACTGCTCAGCTAAGGTATCTGAATTCCCACTAGAAGAAAATAGTGGGTGGTGTTATAGTACCTGGAAAATAATTCACAAATACTAAATATGTATTTTTCAGCTCTGTGTCAACAAATCCAGTAAACAAAATACAAAAGGCTGCACACTAAGTATAGTTTGCATAAGCTAGTTGAAATGCATGGCGAATTTGTACCTAGCCCGTATGCAAATTTGCATTCTTAATGGATCAGGTGACATGATATTCATTGGAAGTACAGGCACATTTTTTTTCACTCAAATATTAACCAAAGGTATTAATCAGCAGAGATACATGAATGATAGATCATAGAGGTTGAAGGAGGAGGAGAAATAATAGATGGACAGATGGACAAATGGATAGGTGGATGATAGGAAAAGAATACGGTTTCAAGGATTATATGTTGTAGATGGAACAACCACTCACCAGTTACTTGGTTTGGATGAGTTTTGCTTATCATACCCTGTTTGTTTCCAAAGATATCTGGCCATTTTGGAGATCAGATGCTGGAATGGTGGTGGTTTAACTGAATCAACAAGATAAATCACACCATTGACAACAAGCCTTTGCAAAAGGAAGCGAAGTGGGTAAAGGAACTCTCCTGGCTTCTGAAATTAAGACAAAATAACCCCAGACCCTACACTGAGCAGCAACCCCAGACTCTACATTGGCAGCCCTCTCAACAGAGGGGGAGGCATAAGATATTCCCTACCTCCAGTCTACAACGCAGCCTTGCAGCAGTTTCAAGAAAATTTCACAACCAATTGCACTCTGATTCAGGTGACCATGAAGGCAAAAATAAACCCTCAAGTGGCCTCAAGAGTTCTCAGAGAGTACTAATGACTAGATAACTGCAAAGAAATACAATCCTTCCATTCCCCACCACCACTATCAGGTGAGAACCTATCCTTCCATTCCCCCTCCAGTCTCAACAGTACCTATCCTTCCAGTCCCACCTCCCCCCCCCACCACCATCACAAGTGATGGAAGTTTTTGGGTTGAGAAGCAAAACGTTTTGTTCTTCAAGGAAAAAATAATTCAGTTGCCTTTTGAAAAAAGCACCTTTGAGACAACTATGACCTGGATGACTGAAAATCTCCACAGACACCAAGACCCTATGTTTGGAAAGTGATGCTTAAAATTCATGCACTGCCATATTTGATTCAGTTGAAATGATACACATATTTTTTTAAATGTGTGTAGAAGTGACTGCTACAGCAAAGACTTCAGGACGCAGTGCTACCATTCAGGATTCCAGTTATTTGTTCAGTCCTGTTCATTTAACTTCTTCCCCTCCATGCAAGTCTGAATTCCATAGACCTTCACATCATTATGCTATTATTTTAGGTTCTACTCTGCACTTTTCTAAATGTGTGTAACTTCAGCATTCAGGGTTCTCCTTCCTCTTATGCATGAAACGAATCACGCTTGCAATAAGCAGCAGCATTTATAATTACACAGAGGCAATACAGCAATCTAGAATATTCAACTGTTTTACAACTATTCCTCCAGGTTAGCCTCAGATAAAGTGTCCAAGATTCCTTGGAGCTATTGTAATTATAAAGCAATCATACATTTAGATCAGTGGTTCCCAACTTTTTCTATACCCTGCATCCCTAGAATGCTTCTGATATTTTCTCGCACCCCTTACAAAAGTTAGAAATAACAGCAACAAATCTGCATATAAATTATAATTTTGAAAACCCAAGTTTTCGCACCCCCTGGAATATCGTCTCACACCCCCAGAGGATGCGAGCACCCCTGATTGGAAACCCCTGATTTAAATGGTTACTGTAAAATAAACCCAAAGAGAACAATAAGTAGAAAGCCTATTGAAAGTCAGAGTGTATGTCCTGAATGAGTGAGATATTTTGCAACTTGCTTCTGATGTTAAAAATGCCAAGAGATCTCATAAATACTTGCCAGTTGCCAAGCCCCCAAATTTTGATCATGTGATTTGGGGATGCGGCAATTATCACAAGTGCAAAGACTAATTGTGAGTCACTTTTTTCAGTAGCATCAAAACTTTGAATGTTCATTAAATAGTCCTAAGTCAAAGATAATTGTTTTTAGGGTTAGCCATCATTGAATGGATGACCACCTTGGGCAATCTAGTGATATTATATTTGATGGTCATTTGTTTAGTAACAATTTTTAAAAGGCAGATTCATCTATGAACAGTCTTTATATTGTTATAAATATTACGCATGTGCAATGGGAATATATCTTTGATAATGAAATACTTGGCCAACATCCCCCATGTCCCCGAACTAGAAAGGTTGCCTGGGACATTTGGCTGGTCAATTGAGAAACAGACTGCTGGGCTGGGTGGTTCTTTGGGTCTAAAATGTCATAATCATTCTTAAGTTCTGGTTTATGTAGACCTAGTCATAACCGTGTGGGCCAAATGACTCCATCCTCCAGAAGGAATGGTTGAAATGGATTTATCCTGCATTATAAGACTTTGCTTGTACTTTCTATAAGGCACACTTTGCTGTCACTGAGACCACTTGGACATGGAGAGAGAGAGACAGAAGCACCTGGCGGGGTTATTTGAAAACTTGGAGTTCATTCTTCTGCAGGGACCAACTCATAATTACAGTCATTTTCTAGCTGTGCGATGAATGTTTCATCAGGACCTGCTGGGTTCTCTCTCTCTCTCTTTCTAACCCTCATCAGTCACTACAAGGGCTCTTTAAAGAGACAGCAGCTCTACCAGCAGCAGCCCTCTCCAGTTCATTTTGAACAGATGTGCTTTAATTTGGGAAGACATATTTGAACCTCTCAGCTCACAGGAAGCAGGGATCACTGCTTGCCACAAATTGTTTGCTCTCTTTCACAACTGTGTTCCCAGCAGAGGAAAAATAAAGGTCATGGTGCCCTGAGAAGTTTTCCTGCACTGGTGCCACTAAAATAAATGGGAGAGGTGTCCTAGTTTATTCCAACCTGGAACAAAATTTCCTATTTCTAAAATAAACTATTAATGTCTTCTCGTGCATACAGTGCAAATATGCCATATTCCACTCCACATGCTGCTACATTCCACATTTTCCAACTGATGTCTTCCCAGTGTCCTGGTGTCTTCCCAGGTCCTGACACATAAGGAGGCCACCCAGTTGGAAAGGACTGCCTCAAAGTGATTTTTAAAAAAAGAATCTGAGCTGTCTTGATTCTCAATAGCTTCCAGTAAAGGAAAGTAGATGATCACAGGATTCGGTCCTCCTACCACAACTTCCATTCTGCTAATATTCAAGAATATTTAAGAATGCAATTGACTGCACCCATTTTTTTTTCTTGCATTTTTCCCTAGGAAAAAAATCTGACTTGAAGGGATTTTGATCTTAGGAGAGGAAAACTATATCACCCATTGTCTCCTTCCTTTCAGCTTCTAAATACAGCAGGCTGGAAGGTACTAAAAGGCAAAGGAAATATCCTGGTGGAGGGGTCATAGATCTGTTGGATCCAATATTCTTCCAGTCCCTCAGCGTGCCTTCCAATGTAAGAAGAACCTTAAGCCTGTGTTGATGTTGGCTTAAAGGATTCCAAACAATCTCCACTCTCCAACCCCTGAAGAAAAAGTGTTTTAAAAAAATCGCCTTCATTTTGGCTGTTCTTGCACAGCTGTACTTTAAATATCTCACAGGTTCCAAAGTCCAAACCTGGAATTGAATGGCAGCCTTGCTTTGTTCCACATATATATAGTCCATTAGATCTTTCAAAGTACTTCACATTAAATAATCCTTACACTAGTTTTACATGGTGTTTATTATTTTCATATTGCAAGTGCAAAAGAGCAGCTACGGCTGGAAAAAGAGAAACTTATTTTAGTAATTGACCAATTTGGAGTAAACTTAAAATTATGTCTCTTATATCAAACCATGGCAAATCAACCCTGATGAGTTGGAGGCGAAGTGGGACAATGTGGGACCCAGATTTTTGCCCCAGCCTGATGGCCTTTTCATGTTAAAGGCTCTGAGGGAAAGGAAAATCCATTTTGATTAAGAGTCACTTTCTTACCATATTACTCTGCCAGGGCTAAAACTGACAATGAATAAAACCATTTATTTCTTCCTCTCCCCTTTTGACTTCTGCTATTACCTCCTCCCCACTTGTCCTTTTTCTCCCCACTTAGACAGTTGCCAGGGAAAGACAGATGGTTATTGCCAGAGGTCTGAACTGATTACTCACAATGGAATTTGGAAATTAAACCAAAGGCCACAGGTTTCCCAACCCTGATCAAGCAAGTTCAGGATTGATGTGAGACATGAATCCAGATCTCTTTTATTCTTTTTACTTCTGTTGTTTCTTGTGTCAAAGACAAAATGGGAAGCATGTAATTGGCCAAGAATTAAAGCCATCCTACTTTGTCCCACCCCATCCCATTTTATACATGCAATACCCACACACTACTTTAATCCCTTTGAGATAACCCTTTGATAATAGCCATCCTCAAGTCGCAGTGACTTTCTTGTGAGACTGTTTATAAAATGTGTTAATTGACATCCAACAGGAGAAGAGTTTAAAAAAAACCCTGCAAGAACATGCTCTCTCAGCCTTGTGCCCCTAGTTGTTTCCTGCTTGAGAACCAATACTTGGCACAAGAGGAATTCCAAGCTTGCAATTTGGTGCACTAATATAAGGGGACCTATGTCCATTCAGGTAGCTGGTGCTACAAACTTCCAGATGAATATTGACTGGTGAATTTATGTAAAGCACAGTTCTCCTATTGGTAAAATAATCTGCCAGGTTTCTCCAATGCACTATAGTTTATACAGTAATTGGTGCTGCTGACTGGAAATCACAACACCAAAGAGGATAATCTTGTGTATTTCTATTGATCTCTCATTGCAATTGAGCATTAACATATTTAAAGCAGCTTAGTGATCCTTACAATAACCTAGCAAAGTAGTTCAAGGCACCCCTCTACTCTTAGCCTTAATGAAGGCCTCAGTAAAGACTAATCCATTAATAAAAATTATAAATTGATATTTTTATTTCTAGAATTGGCACCCATTTGGAGAGGGAATTTCATTCCCTTGGGAAATTAAATAATGACATATTAGGACATGATTGAAGAATAGAGAATTCCCTCCCCTTGAAAGTGGAATGGGCCTCTAGCCCTAAATCTGAGAGACCATTTTAAGTAGTTTAGAGCTGTGATTTCTTAATAGAAAAATGGAGACTCTGATGATTATTTTCTATATATCAGTATATCCCAGACAGCTACAAAAGCACATTTTTAAAAAACTATAAAAATATCTCTTTGGAAAGCATATTCCTGAGCTTTGAAAACTTTCTCTGTATCCCAGATTGTATATATATACCTGGCCATGAAGGAAATGTACTCTGCACATGCTGAATGGACTCTTCATTATTTTGCAACTGAGTGGCCTCTGTGGAGGGGAAGCATCAGATTCAGAACCAAGTTTAAGTATCTTTAGAGCTAATTGTGTTCCCAGCATTTTTTATTTTAAAGTAGGTTTATACACCAAAAAAATGCCAGTTTACCCGGAACTGATTTTTTTTAAGTTATTAATATTAAATATGAATTAATTACTCTATAATGATGCATTTATTAATTTGCCCTTTTGTGTTGGAACTGAGTAATCGTTTCTAGTGATCTCTCTGTGGTGCACCTTAAACTTTCAGAAGGCTGCATTTGATGCTGTTGGCAGGGCTCAGCTCAGCATCAGTATCTCAGACCCAAAGAGCAGAGATTGGTATTAGGAAAAGGCAAAACCTGAAAGGGAGGGTTGTCTTTGTTTTCAAAGGAAACATCAACTGAAAACATCCCAATCCAGGTGCGCTATGTCAGATTTTGGTGCTGGAAAGTTCTGACTGAAATCTTGGTTCAAATCAAGTCTGGTGATTTCTCTCTCTCCCTGGCAGGGGCTGCCCTTGGAGCATCAAACACAGGATTCGTGTCCAGGCCTTGATGGAGAGATGCATCTCTTTTTCTCTCAGCGTCTCAGATGGCTGCCCACATCTCGATCCACAGCTGCCACCCTGCCACCCTGAGCTTAATGAGCCTGTTATAGCACAGCACTCAACCTCCCTCCCTCTTTCTTTCCCTCCCTTTTCCCCTCTCTTTTTCCCTAATCACCACCCTGAAATTTCAGGCTGCTGGCAGGCACAGCAGAAATTACTTTCTCTATTTTAAAACAACAACAACAACAACCACAAAAGGGCAACCGGCTGCCAAGAGAAACTTGGAATGGAGCAGAAGGCAGAGAGACTTGGGGAGCCTTAATGATGCTCTGTCAGAAATCCAGCCAACAGCAGGGGGAAAAGAAAGAAACAAGCTGGGGGAGATGTTCATGTCTCCAACACTAGACCCAGCTACCAGCTTGTTGTTGGGGGGGTGGGGGTGTTATCCTCACACACCCAGAAAATCATGGTTTGAAGCAACCCATCAGGAAGAAGCAACCCTTCAGTGAGGTTTTTTCAGCATCTTTTGAGGTAGAAGGTGAATGAAGCAAACTAGCCTTCAGAGATGGAGCATCTTTCCAGCAGTTTCTCTTAGAAGAACCCAGCAGAAATGAGAATCACCTGAGCGTGTTCAATTGTTATTTCCTCCTTCCTTCTATAATAATGATTCAAAGAAGATTCTCAGCTCCAAGCAATCACTTTCAGCCTCTGAAATTTGAAACTGCATAATTATGATCAAAAAAGGAAAAGACAGACCAGCACTTGAACTAAGAACTCATTATCAATAAAAGAACTTCCAAGCCATTAGTCCTTTGTAGGGAGTCTAATAAATGGATCCCAGGGTAGTAGGAAGATTAAATCAGCTTAAACTAAAAATAAAGCATGCAGATGTTGATATTGCTGTCTTATTCCAGCAGAGAATCGTGTTTTTTTTCTTTTTAACTCATGAAATGCCACACATTTTTACTACGTGATTTCTAAAAGGAACGGAGATTACAATTCTGCACATGTTCAGTGGTATTGTAATAGGACAACTGTTTACACAGCTACTGGCAAATAAAATTCCTACTTCCAGAATTTGTATAAGGTTGGAAGTTAAGAAGACTTGGAGATTTTCTTCTTGCGTATTGAATGACACATTCCAAGGATAAACATATCAAAAGCTCAGCACAACTGAATCTTGCTTCCAGGATCCTTTGTGAAAGGTCAGGCTAACAAAGCCTTGTCCAAGCACGGTAGAGTCAGGATGTCATTTCTCGGAGCAAAAATTAAAAAAACTTTCTAGACAATTCAGACTATTTATAGGAAGATTCTAGGCAGCTTCTAACCATAGGAAAAAATTCCACCGACTTTAATATAGAGCATATATAGCATTTTTAAAACCAGATAACACAGCTGTAGCTAGCCAATGCCTCTGGAAGATATTATTAGCGTTGTGATTCCAAAACTGCATTATGAATGATGCAATCCTGGTACACCTGAAAGTCACGCGGTTAGAAAAGAAATGAGCATCTTTTATTTGACATCAAAAATTGGTGTTCAGAGAGGCAGGTTCTAATTACTCCACTTAATAGTAATGGACAGACTACCCCATGTGAATTGCCTAACTCATTCTTAAAATACCTATAGGGCTCTCTTCTTGCTGAACAAGTCCTGGCTTCCATTGCATTGTGATAACCCAGAGACATTATGGCCCATTGGATAACGGGGAAGAGAAGAAATTCTGAGCTACAGCCTGCCCTCTATTACACTCCCTTGCATTAGAAAATATTCAGATGGAGAAAATATCAAGTTGAGCACAACCCTCCTAACATAGTCCTTGCTTTGCTGTGTTAGATTTATACTTACAATCACTATACAGTATAGCTGATTTTTTAAAAAAAGTAATGGGAATGTTCAAAAATAAACATTAACACTTGTAGCTTAAGATTAGTATTACTTTATATGCCTCCATTGGTTATTACTTTATTTTGTAGCATATATTAGAAGAAATAGTCAACTAGAAGAGCAAGTCAGCTGCTAGATGAATAAAGCCAATCATTTTTGTATGTCCTAATTCTATGTAATATCTCATATTGGAAATAAATGTAAAAACTGAACTTGGGTAAAAGTAAAACCCTGCTTAAATTGCACTAACTCCTCTGGCTATCACCTCCTTATATCTCTCCTAACTAGAGGAGAAAAGAGGGCTTCACTCAAAAGGGGACAAAATTGGTGTGGAGTTTTCAAGAGGATGGGAAATCAAATCTCCCAACAGCTCCAAGCAACTCTCTGGAAGCTTCGAAAGCTAAGCTGGCAAGGGCAGGTGGTTGCACAGCTGTGCCATTTGGATCATGCGCTTCCATCAATATTCATGAGGCAGCCTGGCCAATCAGCAGAGTAGCTGTCATTAGTGAGCATCTGGCTAGTGAGAAGAGGCTTGTTTTGAGTTTTTCTTTAAAGTGAACTTCTTTTGACATTTTAAGAATGTTCCTCCATAGGTTTCAAAGTCCTCTTCCCGTGCCCTCACCTGTGTGCTTGGTTTAATCCCTTATGTGACAGAGGTCTAAAGTGCCCCTGAAATGAAGAATTGCAATCTAAGAGGAGGAGGTTGACAACCAATATCACATGACAATTCTTTAAAAGCATACTGAGTTCCAAATTCCAATATTATTTTGTACATACCCTTCTAACACAATACCCCACAGTCACACAAGTTACATGACCCACTTCATGCATGAGTTCTTGGGAGGTCTTATGGTACTGGAAGAACATGAAAAAAATTTATTCCACCAATTCTGTGCAGTTAAAATAATACAGCAAATCCTAAATCATTTTCCACATCCTGATATTCCAGGTATATTGGGACTATGTTTCCCCAAATTCCCAGCTAGTATGCTGTTTAGAAATTCCATAGTTCGTAGTTCCAGTGCTTAGAGAGAGCTGTCCAATATACATACACCCATACACACATGTATATAATTAAGAGAAGATACCAATAGATTTCTTCCTTAATTGAGATTTTGGAGGCACTTCATCTCTATACTCCATTGTCCACCATCAAGCAAAACTGTCCAAGAGTCTTATCTGGTCCACGTTCCAAACACAAATTAAGCCTGCAGATTCAGCTATGTCCCATATGCTATCTTCATCTATATCAGAATCTACTTTTCCATAAGCAATGTACAAGTCCATTTTAGGAAACTGTGTTGTAAGTAAAGCTCTCCAATGGCCTTATCTATAGTAACTCCACTACATCTTGTAAGGCAGAAATGGGTGACCTACAAAGTTCTTGTGTAACAATTAAATTCTCTAACATTTCCCTGCTACAAACATACATCTGTTAGTAAAGATAAAACAGAAAGATAAATATCCATCTTTTTGTTTCTCCAATTAATGGTTGCTTTAATTTTGACCATCACACTGTTTCCAACAAATTATCTTTGAGGTAACAGTCATCCAAGGAGAAAAAGTTGCCTTAATATCAGGGCCAGCTCAAGGGAATAGGACATTCCCCAATCACATTGACTGAAAGTGCCACCTCTAGCTAATGCAAAGATTTGCATTTTTAGCATTGGAAGAAAGGATGGCATTACCTATTTCTTAGCTTCCTTCAAATCAATCTATTGTAGCACAGAACTCGTTTGTGTGTGTAATGAGAGTGTGTCTGTCCAAAACAATCCTTAATGAAATTAATAGCATGTATTTTGTTTGTCTTCAGGGATGAAAGATGCCATGTTTACAGATAATAAAAGCCTTGCATTCTCCAAAAGTAGATGTGATTGAAAACAAAAAATTAGCCCTAAATGCATCCATTAGAAAGGATATCACCTGCCTGCTTTTGATTTTAGCCTAAAGATTACTTGAGGCTTGAAAAGGGCTATTTGGGTAGTAAATTTAATTCTGCCTGGAAGGCTTAAAAGGAGCTTTTCTATTTTCTTTCAGTTTGGTTCTGATTCTTCTTCAAACTCATCCTGCTTTGTGCATCCCTTTTTTCCATTTCTTCATTGCATATTCTTTTTTCCTCTTATATCAGCTACATCTTTTTTCCCCCATTTTCCCATATTTTACTAGAAAGAAGGCACACGAAATAGAAACATATTTCTGTGTGAGAATAGTTGAAATATGGGATCAGTTATTTGTATCCCTTTATTATTTTTACAAATAAGTCAAAGCAGCAAATATATCCAACATACCTTCCTCCTCCTATTTTCCTCACAATATTCTGAGGTGAGTTGGGCTGAGACAGTGTGACTGACTCAAGATCACCCAGCTGACTTCCTGGCTAAGTACAACTAGAACTCATGGTCTCCTAGTTTCTAGTTTTGCCTTAATCACTAGACCAAATTGGCTCTCCGTTAATTGTATTAATGTGGTACTTTCTTACAGACAATTAATTTTAATTAGTAGTTATTCATTCAAACATTCCCTGTCCTGGCCATGCTATTTTCTAAAGAAGTGAAGAATCTTAAGTATTGATTTCAAATAGATTTGATAACTCTTGGCTTAACAAGATGGGAGACCCCAGGATTTGGATCAAGTTTGGTGTGAGAGAAAGAAAGATAGTTCTTTGAAAACAAGGTTCATCTTTGAGAACAAGGTTTTTCATAAATTCAGGGATTTCTTTTCAAGTAAGCATAATGCACTTATCATGCTGTAATTTTATGACAATACATTACCAATACAGCTGAGGAAATCTGCTGAATATTTCTATTTTGCAACCTGTTGCAATTTTCTTGATGACCCACACACTGAGAAACATCAACTAAAGGCAAGGAACTTAGCAATTCTAGTATGGGTTTACTTACTCTACAAACTGTAACATGATGAAAGAAAAGGTGATTCATTTTCTCCCCAGGTCCTCATCACAAACACTGAAGAAGCTTGAGTCAATCCTCAGGTGGCGCAAGCAGCAGTGAAATCAATGCTTTGGTTAAATATATGTTTATACCTGGTCCTATAAAGGTTCCACTGGGGGAAGAAACTGTTATATGTATTAAGTCAATTTTGAGACAAGATTTAATATTTCCAGATGTTCATTTTGAACTATATTCTTATGCATATAAAGAAAGTAGATTCTGTGTTTATAGTTAAAAGATTTCAGCACTGGAAAAATAAATATATGGTCCCAACAAACAAATCACTTACTGACATAGTTCAGCTATAGATAAAGTGAAATGCTTTGTGTGAGTGTGTGAACATATATATGTGAATATTTCACATATACATGAAAGCAGGCCATTTTTACAATTTTATTTTAAATATTTGTTTTATTTAGTTTTCTCTATAGCTTTAAATATTGTTCCTTTGTGTGCTCTATAATAAAGGTAAAATTCAAATTAAAAATGACATAATCACAAGATAGAGTGGGAAGAGAGGAATAGGCAATGTACTAGTTCTTTTTAAGTAATAATTATTTTGCTTTCATGTACATTTGTTGAGATTATCACAAAAGAAGGGAACACAAAGAAGACAAAAAAACCTTTAAGTACTTTAGCTAAAAAAAAAGCCACTGCCCATAGGATAAAAATTTATTGTGCCAAAAATTGCCTTATTTGTTTCCCTACCCAGTTTAAAGGACAAAAACTGGGAGAGAGACAACATGAGTCTATTTACTTAACTTCTATTGTGTAGTGTGTGGAAATGGAGGGGGGGGGGATTAAAACATCTCAAGCAAGATCTTCCAGCTCTTCAGAGTCCATTGATTTCAATTCTATTAATATTTTGCTCAAAGATCAGACAAGTCAAATAAAAAAATCTGCAAATTGAAATATCTAGACTTATAGAATTGCTGTTTTACTGCTCCTATAGCAATGAATAAGAGAACTTAGAGGCAGATAGGTACAATTCTTATTTAGTATATAGGTGGGGTTTATTACTGTCTCCATGTCAAATTGTGTGCTGTGTCAAAGCAATGAAATATAGCAGGACTCTTCTCAAGATATGCACCTAACAACTAAGAAGAATACAGACTATCATTCCTTGTTTCCCTTGTATGTTTATAACATACTCCTCTTAGCAGCTTCGGCAATAATAAATTGGGGAGAGAGTCTGGTTATTTGGCCCAGCTGTGTATATCTACCAAGGAACTCAGATGTGGATTTGGCATCCATGGCAAGCAGGTGCGCTTTCTGGCACCACCTTAAAAAGAAGTTGTATTACAGGCAAATAGTTTTGATACAAAAGACAGCTGGATTTTGGCAACAAAAATTATCAGTTATAGATATGGAGGATGCGGGGAGAGAACGTAGTCAACAAGCCAGAGCAATTTTCTGTACAGGATAATTTGTCAAAGTATGCAAAAAGTTGAGGAAGACTTGAGGGAGGATCAAGATGGAAGAACAGGAAAAAAGGATACCTGAAAACCACTTCTGCATTCATAAGCCTCAATTCTAACTGTTCAAACATTTCACTGGTCCAGGCTTGTTCACACCCAAGCCATAGAGATAATCCAAACACTTGTGCCTGGAGTTCTAATAATCCAAAGTGACAAAAGTTAATGCTGAGCTTCAAGCACATCCTGAATGGGCTTTTTTATTCTAATTGTTGATGTGATGATCTGATGCTGTGGAACTAGCCTGCAGCAGTCCTGTTGGTTGATGGTCATCTTCCTCAGAACACGGACTCTCCAATTTGTTGTCATCTATGCTGACATCACTCCAATGAGGGAGTGGTTCTATGGAGCTTTGGACAAACTGGCTTTCTTCATCAAAACTTCATCACAGACCAGGAGAGTTGAGAGCAACAGAGAAAGAAAGATATTTAATTTAAAGCTGCTGATTCATTCTCAGAATTCTACTGCCTAGAGTTTCATGGTCTAGAATAGTGGTTCTCAACCTTTTTAATGCCGCGATCCCCAACCGGTCGTAACTCAAGCACTACTCAACCAGTCGTAAGTCGAGGACTACTCAACTGATGCAGCACCATTTGCAGAATGGGACTTTTGGTGGGCTCAGCAGGGCAGAGACAGCCTGGACAATTCCTATTGGCTTTTGAAAGCCAATAGAATTAGACTCTATTCAAGAGAGTCTATTCTATTGGCTTTCAAAAGCCAATAGAATAAAAGGGAGTAGCACAGCTAAGGAAAAGGGGGAAAAAATGGTGGACTGCGTTGTTTAGCGACCCCCGTGAAATGGTTGTTTGACCCCAAATGGGGTCCCGACCCACAGGTTGAGAATCACTGGTCTAGAACCAGAGGTCTATGAGCTTGTTTTCTGATGACCAAGTGTTATGCACCAGTTTCTGAGATAACACCAGTATCAATGTGCCTCCCCCACAAGTGATTCCCTATCTTGCCACAAGAATGCTGCCAGCAAATACTAGTGTTCTTATTTATGATATATAGACATGTTAGGGCAAAGATTGTTGTTTCTTTTCACTTCCTTCAACTTTCATCAGTCTGCAAGAAAACATCCAGTAATAATTCTCTTTAACTTTGGATGGGATGGAGAAGAAGGAATATTTTAAAGATGGCTAGATCAGTGAATTTAGCTATCTGTCAAAACCTGCTTGGATTTTATGGAGGGGTTATACATGGAGGGAGGGGTTTACTGGACACAGATTTAGTAATATTCTAGGAAAGCAGTAAGCACATGTTCAAAATGATCTATATTTTCTTCCGGAACAGCACTAAACCTGTTCAGTTCCAGGGATCAGTTCAATGAATACAGGAAGAGATCTGGTTTGTAAGGACTGCTTAAATCAGAATATACTAAAAGTAGTGTACAGGTCTAACAGGAAAGTTGGCATAACCACAACAGCCTAAGTAGCCAATAGGTTTCAAGCTAGAGATTTCCTGGCTATGTCACAGAATGATTATTAAAGCATATCAAATTGTTTCCATGGCAAAATATTTACCAGGATAAGGGGGAAATACTAGTTAGGAATGATATAGTTAAGGACAACAGTTATGGACTGGGGAATCAGACGAAAGCAATATCTTGAAGAAACAGAAAAGGTTTGTTGTTTGTGCTGTAATTTGATGCAAGTAAAGAAATATCTGGAATGTAAACACATATCTAAAACTGTCTTCACCATGCATAGCCAACTCAGTTTCTTACAGAAACAAACTACCACATTTAATAGATATATAAAAGAATCCATTAAAAGGTAATAGAGCTAGGATACTAGATAGTGTGATAAAACCATTTTAACATCTGCTACTCCAAATTCTAAATGAAAAAAAAACTTGGGATATGGAAGAAAAAGGAATGATGATACACTTTTTCATATGGACTGGATACAAATCACAATCAAATCTGAATGTATTTGGGAATTCCATTAAAATTTCATAGAATCAAACAAGAAAATCATGTCATAAATTATAGTACAAAAGAATGAGAAATTGGGAGATTTTTCTGCTAAAATATCACATATCTGCCAAAATCATACTTGACTGTCATAACTGCTTGATCAAAGTTCTAGAATTGATTCTTGATTAAGAAGGAAACAGAACCACTAATAGGCTTCTCTCTGAGAGAAAGAGAGACAGACAGACATGACAAAGACAACAACTGAACACATAAACAACCAATTTCCAGCCAAATATTGATTACCCACTTCCATTTCCTATTAGGTGGGTTAAGAGAAAAAGGAGAATAGCTGTTGGATTCAGCACCTAATGCACAGGTCGGCAACCTGCGGCTCCGGAGCCGCATGCGGCTCTTTGAGCCTTCTCCTGTGGCTCCCAGCCTCCTCTGCCTTTGCAGAGAGAGACAGAGACAGAGAGAGGCAATTGCGCTTCCCTGCTTCTCTCTTTCTCTCTCTCTCTCTCTCTCTCTCTCTCTCTCTCTCTCTCTGTGTGTGTGTGTGTGTGTGTGTGTGTGTTTGTGTTTTTGTGTGTGTGTGTGTCTGTGTGTATGTGTAAAAGAGAGTGCACTCACAGTATTCTCCGAGGAGCTGAAAAGCTTACTGGGCGGAGCTCCTCCCTTGGCTGCATCTCTGCAGGAAGCAGGAAGGGCAGGAGAGAGCTAGCTAGCCCAGCTAGGCTGACTCAGGAATTCTGGGAGTTGAAGTCCATGAGTCATAAAAGAGACGAAGTTGCCTTCCCCTGATTTTGTTGGACAACAGCCTGAAGCTTGTCAGGTGAGCAGCAGATAGGAGAGGGGGGGGAGAAAGAGAGAGAGAGAGAGAAAGAGAGAGAGGGAGAGAGAGAGAGGAAAGAGAGAGAGAGAAAGAAAGAGAGCGGGGGAAGAGGAGTGGCAGACCAAGGGCAGATAGAGAGGGAGAGAGAGAGACAGAGAGAGACCCTTTTGACATCTAAAATGAAGATAACACTGCATATATCCTTTTTTTACCTGTGTGTGTATGTGTATGTGTATGTGTGTGTATATACATATATACATACATACATACATGTATACATACATATATATACACATACATATACATATATATACACACACATACATACACACACAAACACACACACACACAAACACACACACCTATAATAAAGGTAAAAAAGGATATATGCAGTGTTATCTTCATTTTAGATATCAAAAGGGTTTTGTGGCTCCCAGTGTTTTGTTTTTGGTGGGAAACGGGTCCAAGTGGCTCTTTAAGTGTTTTGGGTTGCCTACCTCTGACCTAATGGCTGTAGTCAATCCCTTAGGCTCTACACTCACATTTATTGCTGGGTTTTGAGCCCTAACACACATGCACATTCCTAAACTCAGATCACACATGCAATCACACTCCAAGTGCCTACTTCCCCATCTCATTCATACCTTTGCCCATCATTTCCATGCAACTGACTTTATTACAGAGAAGTTAAAGTCACATATCTAGGTGTCCCCTCTAAATTTGATTTTGGAATCTGGAAAGCTTTATTTCTATAGCTCTAGCACAATCTGTATCAGAGATCTTCCAAACAAGGACTGATTGGAAGCCATGAGCAAGCATAGAAGACAGGAAGTACAAAACATCCTGGACAAGAAATTGTGATTACTGTCTTCTGGACCATTACATTCATTCCACTCACCTGTTGCCAAAGTCATGCACAGCCAGCAAAGCTGAATGACTGTCCTCCTGAATCCAACCACAGTTGGACCTGGCATAGTGGAGAATAGCATCAGTGACACTCATAGGGCCTCGACCCTGCACATAAGCTTCAATTTCTGGTACAGAGAGCTGGCTTTGTAGAAAAAGGTGCAGCTGGCTATCTGAAAGGAGTACAACATTCTGTACTGTCCTAGAATATGAATAGAAAAATTGGAAATTCTAAGCACAAAAGCTACAACGATCAGATTTTCAGAAACAACACTTAAGGTCTTATTACCTTTCCTGCTCAAGCACATCTGAGGTTCTTATAGACAGAGAGACTTTCAAAGTGTGAAGTGAGAATCTACGGTAGAAGAAACATAGCCACCCACCCTTTTCTTTTTTAAAAATCTGCTGGCAGCCTTGGCCAATCTTTGTTCATTTCCACTGCAATATTTCCATTGAAAGGGGAAAAGGATATGCCAACTATAATGCTAGCATATAATTCTTCCTGTATTGAAGGAAAGGAAGAGGTTTTTATATGGCTTTCTCGATCCACATTGGCATGCCTTTCCCCACCATTGTTAGAGTTCTAACAGTAGAACTGCTGGGGCATCAAAGCTTGCTGCCGCTGTAATAGGAATATTATCAATTATTGATTTGTTCCTACAGCTGCAGAAGGGGAGATAAATATCACTCCTAAGAAATTCCTAGGAAACTTGCCAGGTTCACTGACCTGTAACTGAGACCTGTCTTTTTTGACAGGCTTTGGGTTTTCCAAGATTTTCTACCTATTTGTCAACATTTTCTTGTCATATTTTTTATTTTGTTTTTTTAAAAAATCAACTAAGCTTGCTTATTTACAGTAAATTGAAACTATCTTGATTATTTTATCATTTCATTCCTTTGCCCACCATTATAAGCTTGATGACAAATTCTAATCAGGTGGGATCTAGAAAATCTTCTATCCTGTTCCTCAGTTTCCACTCACTTCTCCAAGAACTGTTGCAATCCTTGTCTTCGTTTCTCAATAAATTCATCATTGTTACCTGCGAAGAAAGTGGATTTCCCTGGAAGTTCTGGGACAGGCCTACAGGATATGAGGGAGAGGAGTACACACATATAAAAATACACCACTCCTTGAGGATGCATCCCAATAAAAAGTAATTAGCAATCTTCTGCTACACCATGAGCTTGTTCTTCACTAAAATAGGGGTACCTTCTGGAACATACCATCCTATTAAAAGCCTATTCCCATCAAGGTTTGAAGCCTACAGTGAAGTTAATTTAATTCAGTGGCAATGCTGACAAAGAAGAATATATCTTCTCCAAGAGTTGGACTTCTGGATCATTAACAGCTCTGCAAAAATTCAAATCTTCTGCAAGCTGAGGCAGTGCTTTGAAACAGTATTGTGTTATATCCACGTCAAATTTATGAAAGGTTTTGGGGATGGTTCTAAAGATGATAGGTCAAGCTTAGGGATCTTCTCCCCTGAAAGTTTACAAATTGTGTTTTGCAAAAAATCAACAAGCTCATTAAGCTTTCTTGGAAGTAGATAAAATGGAAAGTAAAATCCAAAATATAAAACCATCATTATCTTCTGGAACTGCCAATAGTCTTCCATGACAGACCTGAACTTATTAAATTCTGACCTCAGAAATTGACTCTAGGTCTGTCGATATGCAAATCATGTATTCTTTGCTAAGATCTGTTCAGCTTTAATACATAATTATGTATTACCATTCAGGCATATTATCCACATTGACATTTCTAAGGTAAGTTTAAAAGTGTCACTTAGTCTTACCACCAGTGCAGAAAATTATATTCTAGTTTATCACTGAAATATTTTCAAATAATGTGCAAATGTCCTTTGATGGTATGGGCTACTATTAAAAAAAAACAATCTCACACTTACACCAAGCCAGCATTTTTTTGCAGCTGTTTCTTTAACCACACAAACTCACGATATCGTCTGCGCACACAAGATGTCTTGGCTGTGAAAGCTTTACTATTGGTCTGTAGAATAAGAAGAAAGATGATTGTTTATTCCACCTGTTTTTAGTCCAAATCCCTTTCTAAACTGTCTCCTTCTGCTGGCTGCTGTGTTAATAGAGAATTGCTATGATAAACAGCTTTTATCACAGCATTTTTTAAAAGAGTGAACTTTAATTAAAAGTCATTTTTTTAAAAAAAAATTTGATTTTCTTTTTTGATTTTTATTGAAGAATTTTATGCAGTAATAAAAGGAATACGCATTTAAGAAAAAAGATGAAAGAAAACTAGTAAATAAAGAAAAAAGTATAAAGTTGCTTTCAATCTTTATATCAGTTACAAATACATAGATTGTCTGTTTCCCTCTTTAAGGTTATATCATGATTCTCTTCTTTTCAGGTTTTTCTCTTTCTATTTAATTTGATTTTCAAAGTGTTTCATACCGTGAAATGTAAAAAAGTGGCCAAACAATAAATTAAATTTGGTTGAAATTTCTAATAATTCAAGGAAGGGTGCATGAAATCAAGGTTCTGACATCTGGAACATAACAATACAGGTAGTTCTTAACTTACAAGTATTTATTTAGTAACCATCCGAAGTTACAACAGCATGACTATTTTTTCACACTTATGACATAACCATGATGATCATACGATCCAGATTCAGATGCTTGTATTTATGATGGTTGCAGTGTCACAGGTTCATGGGTTACCATTTGAACCGTCTGACAAGCAAAGTCAACAGGGAAGCAAAATTCATTTAATAACCATGTTACTAACTTAACAACTGCAGTGACTCACTTAACAACTGTGACAGGAAAGGTCATAAAATGGGGCAAAATTTACTTGTCTTGCTTAGCAACAGAAATTTTGGGCTCAATTATGGTTGTAAATCCAGGATTATATGTATTGCCTCCCATTCTTCTTTAACTGCATGACAGACTGATAATCCCTGTTTCTGCCCCCAAGGCCAGCCAGCTTCTTTGTCCACACTGAAAGTATACATACTAATTTCTCTTCCTCATTCAGAAGACAATGGGGCAGTGTGCATCAAGCCCCATTCCGTTTTTCATGACTCCTAGTATCCCCCAGGATCACACTGCTGAAAATTAGCAGTTAAATAACAATAGCAATAGCACTTAGACTTATATACTGCTTCAAAGTGCTTTACAGTACTCTCTAAGTGTTTACAAAGCATATTGCCCCCCAAAATCTGGGTCTTTATTTTACCAATCTCAGAAGGATGGAAGGCTTAAGTCAGTCAGAATCGAAGGAACCAAACTCCTGGCAAAGTAAGCAGAATTATTTATTTATGAGACTTATATACCGCTTTAAGTGCAAGCACTCTCTAAGCGGTGTACACCAGTAAACAATGTATATATATATTTACATTGCCCCCAACAATCTGGGTCCTCATTTTACCTACCTCGGAAGGATGGAAGGCTGAGTCAACCTTGAGCCGGTGAGATTTGAACCGCTGACCTGCTGAACACAGTCAGCTAAAGTAGCCTGCAGTACTGCACTCTAACTGCTGCGCCACCTCGGCTCAATAGTTCACACATCCAAAAAATGCCAAAAACAACCATTATTGTATGATTTTCAGTGGAAACCATGGAAAATAGTTGCAGTATACCTCAAGTAGGCATAGCATGTCTACAAAGGTAATAATCCTTACCAAATGGGTGGAAAGAAAAATGAGTCAAAATGTTTGTCTCCCCAGCCTCAGCAACTTTTAAGATTCTTTCTCTTCTGGGAGCTAAAGTCCACAAATTTTAAAAGTTGCTCTAAAAAGAAGCAATTTTCCCATGCTTGTAGAGTACAACAGTTTGCAGAAGGAGCAGAAGTAAAAAATAATGGGGAATTTCCACTGTTTCTTGCTACTTTTGCATCAAGTAATAGCGTGACTTTTCTACAGAAGTAAAAAAATCAAGCACAAGTGTCTTTTCCATATGCAGCTGTTTGTTTCTTATCTGGTGTTCTGCAAAGTATGCAAGAAAATAGTTTTTCATCAAGGAGAGAGAAGTAACCTAGAACTAAGGAGAAATTTCCTAACAATGAGAACAATTAACCAGTGGAACAGCTTGCCTTCAAAAGTTGTAAGACCTCCATCACTGGAGGCATTTTGGATGGCTACTTTATCTGGATTGGTATAGGGTCTCCTGCTTATGCTGGAGGTTGGACTAGAAAACATCTAAGGTCCCTTCCAACTCTGTTACTCTGTTGTGTTCTGTCACTTACTGCTGCTTTTTCCAGTGTTTCTATACTTACATGGAGAAATATTTTGTAGTCCACATAAGAATTCCATGAGCCCTCATTGTGTATTCGAGGATCTTGGACACGCACAGTAGTCAGCTCCTGGATTCAGACCCAGAGGAAAAAATACATCTCTAGAGCACACTTAATTTGCAACACTTCTCTAAATGTTAGGGCCCAAACGAGAGCGATTGCCCCCTTTTTCAGCCAAAATAATTGAATAAACAGAAACTCATTATGATCGTAGAAAAGCTTGACTATATTAAGATCCAAGGCTGTAAAGAGATTCAGGCATATTTATTCCATGGTTCTCAAGCATGGGGGGGGGGGAGTAAATATCCAAAATCTAATAACTATTAGATAAACACGATTATGCTTTTCCAATAGTTATTATGGAGAATCTATGACTTTCTGGATGTCATTAGGACTCCAATACCATCCTATCCCAGCCAGAAAGGTCAATGATAAGACAATGAATATTTACAGGGCCACACCTAGCCTAATTAAATTTATGCAAGTTAAAGGCAGCTAACCACAAGTTAATTAAGTTATTACATGACGTTCTTGAATCTTTTTTTTTTATTAAAAGTTTTTGCAATTTTACAATAAAATCCCTCTCCCTACCTCCCTACCCTCCCAAAAACCCTCCCCCCCCTCTTCCCAGAGCTGAATACAGGGTTAACTAGAACTAAGAATACAAAACATTTAAACTTAAGTAAACCTCAAACAAAAGTTACATTAAAAAAAATCCAATATATATATATAATAAAAAAGTCCAATATATATATATAATAAAAATACTTATTATCTTAAACTTTAAACTTTAAACATAAATTATTCAAAAGCTAAATAATATCTTTTAATATCATACTTATACTATATAAAGTTTATCCATCTTTTCCACACCAAGAGATATTTCTCTTGCGATTGATCTTTCAAATAAGCCGAAATTTTTGCCATTTCAGATAAATAAAAAACTTTAAAAAACCATTCCTCCAAAGTAGGCAAAAATTCCTTCTTCCAATGTTGTCCTATCAACAACCTTGCCGCTGTAATTAAATTTAACATTAAAATAATTTCTTTATCATCACAATCAACAATAATACCTAACAAAAACAATTGTGGAGTGAATTTTATCCTTCTCTTAAAAGTTTTTTGAATATTCCACCATATCTTTATCCAAAAAGCTTTTATACTTTTACATGACCACCAAATATGATAATACGTTACATCCAAACAACCACATCTCCAACATTTAGGTTGCAAATTTGAATACATACAAAACATCTTTTGTGGATCAAGGTGCCATCTATAAAACATTTTATAAAAATTTTCCCGTAAATTTTGAGCTTGCGTAAATTTAACATTCCTCACCCAAATTATCTCCCATGTTTCTAATAAAACCAGCTCATCAAAATTTTGAGCCCATTTGACCATGCAATCTTTAACTAATTCTGTTTCTGAATCCAATTCCACTAATACATCATAAATTCTTTTTATATCAGAATCCCACGCATATAAGCTTTACTTGCATCCCATACCATTGATATTGGAGTTCCCTTATACATATTTAAAATAAAATATTCCTTTAAATAGTCTTAAAGTTTCTGAACATTCATTTCTTGTCTAAATAAATTCTCGTTCAGCCTCCAGAATCTTCTCTCCTCTTTTTCCATGGCTAACTCCATCCACACAGGACTATGATCTGTCAATGTCCTTGGAAAAATCTTTACATTCTTTACCCTAAAATATAAATCCATTGTGATAAAAAAAAATCAATTCTTAAAAAAAAATTGATGTCTATCAGGAAAAAAAGTAAAATCTCTCTCTTCCATATTATGTTCTCGCCAGTAATCTCACAACTCCCAGTCCTCTTTCAAATCAAAAAAGGCCTTAGGTAATTTAGCCTGTTTAAAAGAAGTAGAAAGTCCTTTTTTATCTCTATGTGTATCCAAAACTCAATTCCAATCTCCCATCAATATAACAGATCTATAATCCAATAAAATCAATTTTTGGTGTAAAAGCCTGTAAAATTGTTCTTGTTGTTGATTTGATTTGGAGCATACAAACCCACTATAAATATTTTTTTACCATACAGGGCATTAACTAAATATTTTTGGTCTTTAGAAATAATATGGGTTTCCTGCAGACAAATAATATCATTATTATGTTGCTTCAAATAATAAAATATTTTCTTCCTTTTCTATGGAGAATTAAGGCCATTAACATTCCAGGTCAGGAGCTTTGCCATCTCCTCCATCCATTAGCCTAGAGAAGACTACTTGGAGATCTGACATCGAGGATTGCACTGATGATCTCTTAGGTCTTGCTCCTCCCACAGGCTCAGAAACAAATTCTTGTGAAACTTCTTTAACCTCCTTCTTCTGTTGTTCCTTTTCCTTACGCTTATGTGCTGCTCGAGTCATTCTCTGCTCCTTCATCTCAGCTTGTTGATACCACTCAGCCTGTATTTTCCCAGCTTTCATCAATACAGCTTCTTCAGACTGCTGTTCTACCTCCTTTTCTTCCAAAACTTTCAACATTATAGGTGGTGATGAGCACGCTCCCAGGACCGAAGTATAAAACTCTCTTGCTTTGAGAACAGTATTAAGTCTATAACGTGTCCCTGCATGACTCACCACAATTCCAGTTGGAATCTCCCATCTGAATGGCATCTGCCTCTTTTTAAGTTCATCTGCTAAAAAAGCAAACTCTTTTCTTCTTCTTAGAATTTTAGATGAGATCTCCTTTAAAATTATTACATCTTGTGCAGCAATCTGAAATCTCTTGTTATAAAAAGCTTGTATAATTTCATTGCGTAAAGATCTTTTCCCAAAATAAATTACCACATCTCTTGGCAGATTTCTCTGTTTTGCCACCCAAGAATTAACTCTAAATATTTTTTCAATTTCTCCAAGTATTTCCTCCTTTTCTCTATCCAAAATCACAGCAAAGTCATTTGCCACCATCTCTCTCAAGTTTTCTTGCATATTTTCCCTCAAGCCTCTGATTCTTAAAGCATACTCCATCTCTCTGTATTGAGACATAACAATTTCATCTTGTGAAATTTCCATCTTTTTTTCCATTCCTTCAAATTTTTCCTCCAATAAATCCACTTTATCTGCTACTTCTTCAACACAAGAATCCAACTTTTCAACAACAGAAGCAAGTCCTTTTAGGGCCAAAACTATATCTTGCCTCAAAATATTATTATTCTCCACTAAAATCTCCTTCACTTCTCCTCTAATTTGAGATATATCGTTTCCCATAACATCTTGCAAGTCTTTTACCGTGAGTGGTTGTGTAGGAGGAGAAGGTGATTGTTGGGCTGGTAGTATCGCCGGAGAAGAAGCCACCTTAGGTACTGTGGAAACTTGACGCTTTGAAGCCATTTTAAACAAAAAAAAAAAAATTTTTTTTCTTCTTTCCTCCTTAAAAAAAAAAGTACAAAGAGATCCCAAGAAAAAATAAAAAGATAAACAAAAGAGAGGGAAAATAACTAAACCCAAGTCTCTTTCAAAAAAACCATAAGAATAAAAAGCAAAAAAAATGAAAAAAGAAAAAGTAACAAAGTAACCAAAATCCGTTCCATTTCCTTTCAAGCACTCAAAAAAAAAAAAAAACCTCACATCACCATTTTACTTTCCCTCTCAACAAAAAAAAAAAGTAAAAATAATTCTTTAAAATTAAAGTCCAAATAAATCCAAAAAGTAAAATTCCCCGATCAGCTCTGTCCGCTTTTTTTAAAATAACTCACCAGTTCTCTTTAATCGCGGAGGTGGGAGCGCCGTCTTGCTTTGTTCCGAACGACAAGGAACAAAGACAGCTGAGAAGCGGAGATTCCCTGAACTCCGTGGGAACACTCTTTTCGCCCCCCCAAAAAAAACTTTTTTGGGGGTTTCAGAGGCTCTACCACTATTCAGGATAAAACTCCCCTCCTTCCTTTAGCCCAGGAAGAAGGTTTTAAACCGCGGAACAGTTGATATCTGCTGTCCTCGGCGGTTTTAACGCTATCTCAGAAGGACGGCTAAAAAATAGCCGCTATTGACATTGCGACACCACCGGAAGGTCGACGTTCTTGAATCTTAAACATACCTGCCAAGTAGTATAACTAGGCGGCCCACCATATTATTACATAAGTCTGCAATTATGTCTGATTTTATTATCAATCAGAATATAAATATATATGTTCCTGCTTCACTTCATTTGGAAGAATTGATGAGCAAAGAAAGCAGGACTTGATCTATTGCCTCAGGGATAAAAACAGAAGAATAATGCAATGTTCAGCCCAGCCATCACCAAACTTATATGCTTCAGAACTACAACACTCAAAATGCTTAGCCACCTTCTGAAAGTTGCAGTCAAGCACATATAAAGGATGAGTAGATAAGGAAAGCTTGGCTAACCTACATAGTTTGTTCAACTATGTTTGTTTTGGATATTCAAAACATAGGGTTAAGCTGAGCTACACCTAAGAGCAACCTTGTGCAAGTTTATGTCCTCGTGTCTGTGGTAAAAGACAGCCAGAGAGATATAAATACATACTGCGAGGATGACAGACAGGCTAAACAACATATCTTGTTCAAAATATCTCAACACAATCTCCTGTATTTTTAGGTACTTATTCTCTAGGGCATTTGCATGTTTCAGCTTTCTGCCATCACATAAATCAGTGCATATATATGTAGGTGTGGATAGAAGCACCTTCTATGGATTCTGACTTAAGCTATAAGTCCTGAAACTTTTCTATGGCTCTGCACAGAAGTTTTCTTATTCCAAGTTACTTGCTTTAAGCACAAATATACAGTAAGAAACAAAGCTTGGAAATAAAGTGTTCTCACATTTTGGAACAACCTATGCCAATATTGCTTTAGCCTCTATTCTTTCACCATGTTCAGTCAAACTTGGAGACTATCAAAGCTATTTTCATTCTTGGAGGCTGATTGCAGGTATTTTTAGAATGGGTGAAATAGAAAATTGTTCATATAGTCATGTCTACTAATGCTAATAATCTTACCTCTTGTTCTTGATATTCTAACATCCTACTTTCATAACTTAGAGGGAAACATCTGTGTAAAAAAAAAAGAAAGGGCATACAATTAATATCAGAGCATTAAATATCCATCAACTATCTGCATTTCATCAACTCATTTACTAAATAAAATCAGATCCTGCTCTGGAGATGGAGTAAGGGGGAGTAAATGAAATATTTCAGATAAAAGTTAATTTCTAGAACAGAAGAACCAAGCTATATTCAGGTTATATTCCAAAGCTGTCCACTAAAAAGTTAGCTTACCTGCTGTTATTGAACCAAGGACAGGAACAAGGGAATGTCACTTTGGGCTTTTTAAAAAAATTAATTTTTTACAGTTAAAAAAAAACAGAAAAAAGAAAACACGAAGATAGTTATAATGCAAATACTTACACAAACTATATATAAAAATATGCCTAATATGAAAAAATGTAGCTATTAACACAATTTTATATATACTTAACTATTGTGAATATTATTCAAGCACACATAAATTTCTAATACCTTGTAGAACCATCATTTTCTAACTTTCTTTGTATTTTGTACAAATGAGTTCCTTATTTCATTATACCTGACCCTAGAATATCTACATCTATCAAAAATCCACTCATGGTGGTAAGAGCCTCAGATCTTCAATCCACTGAGTGAATGGGGCCAAACTTGGGTTTAATAAATATAAATCTCTTTTGGCAGGTTAGAATAAAACTTCCTGGCCAGTTATGAACCAGGCACAGAAAACTTGTGCTAACTCAGACTTTAATAATAATAATGATGATGATAAAGTTGGAAGGGACCTTGGAGGTCATCTAGTCCAACCCCCTGCTCAGGCAGGAAACCCTATACCATTTCGGACAAATGGCTGTCCAGTTTCTTCTTAAAAACTTCCAGTGTCGGAGCATTCATCCGCTTCTGGAGGCAGGTTTTTCCACTGGTTAATTGTTCTAACTGTCAGGAAGTTTCTCCTTAGTTCTAAGTTGCTTCTCTCCTTGCTTAGTTTCCACCGTTGTTTCTTGTCCTGCCTTCAGGCGCTTTGGAAAATAGCTTCACTCTCTCTTCTTTGTGGCAGCCCCTGAGATATTGGAACACTGCAATCATGTCCCCCTCGTCCTTCTCTTCATTAAACTAGACATACCCAATTTCAGCAACTGTTCCTTATTATGTTTTAGCCTCCAGTTACTTTGTTGAGTAACAACTCCCAGCATTCTTTACCACTGGCCAGCCCTGACTGGGTCTAGTGAAAAGTGCAATCACAAATATCCAGAGGACCACAATCTTCCTCTTATGTTCTAAAATAATCTTTTTTGGTATACATTCACTTCACTTTCCTACATTTCTTTCTTTTTTATAGTAACTATAAATGGGTGCATCTAATTATTTGCTAGTTTAGAAGACAATAGAGCTCTGAAAAACAGATTAGGTTAGGGTGATAAGTGAAGATAAGCAAAGAGATAAGTGCTAAGATAGGTGCCTGGTGTATTTCAAGCTAAATTGGAAAAAGGAGTAGGGTGGGGTGGAGTGGAAGAGAGAAGAAGCAATGCTATTGGGATAACCAACAATGTCTTGAAAAAAGAAAAGAATTGTTTCAATCTGAATAATTTAATTCAACCTTGCATGGCCAAGATTTTTTCACAACAGAATTTGATAGAGCCCAAGACTAAATTGTACATCCTTCATAACCCAGCAGTTCTCCACAAAAAGATTCAGTCTCAACACCTTAATGCTTGTATTTCCAGAGACCAAGAAAGAATGCAAGCACTTGCTCTAGCTTGACAGATACAAGGAGAGTTTGTTACGGACATGTATTCCATATATTTTTTGCATTTGATTCAAAAGGTCTCAGAAATACATACAATTCCTAATCTTCATTCCTTCAGCCACACAAACAATCAAGCAAAACATTTTGTTGTTAATTGCGAAGTCGTGTCCGACCCATCGCGATCCCATGGACAACGTTCCTCCAGGTCTTCCTCTCCTCTACCATTTTCTGGAGTCCATTTAAGTTCACACCTACTGCTTCAGTGACTCCATCCAGCCATCTCATTCTCTGTCGTCCCTTTCTTCTATTGCTCTCAATCTTTCCCAGCATTAGGCCCTTCTCCAGTGAGTCCTTCCTTTTCATTAGGTGGCCAAAGTATTTGAGTTTCAACTTCAGGATATGGCCTTCTAAAGAGCAGTTGGGGTTGATCTCTTCTAGGACTGACCAGTTTGAATGCCTTGCAGTCCAAGGGACTTGCAGGAGTCTTCTCCAGCACTATAGTTCAAAGCCCTCAATTCTTTGGTGCTCAGCCTTTCTTATGGTCCAACTTTCACAGCCATACATTGCAACTGGGAAAACCATGGCCTGGACTATATGCACTTTTGTTGGCAGGGTAATGTCTCTGCTTTTTAGTATGCTGTCTAGATTTGCTATAGCTTTCCCAGGAGCAAGCGTCTTTAAATTTCTTGGCTGCAGTCCCCATCTGAAGTGATCTTGGAGCCCAGAAAAATAAAATCTGTCACTACCTCCATTTCTTCCCCATCTATTTGCCAGGAATTGAGAGGGCCGGATGCCATGATTTTGGTTTTCTTAATGTTGAGTTTCAAGCCAACTTTTGCACTCTCCTTCTTCATCCGCATCAAGAGGCTCTTTAGTTCCTCTTCACTTTCTGCCATTAGAGTAGAATCATCTGCATATCTTAGGTTGTTGATATTTCTCCCGGCAATCTTAATTCCAACTTTTGTTTCATCTAGTCCTGCCTTTCTCATGATGTGCTCTGCATATAAGTTAAATAGGCAGGGCGACAGTATACAGCCTTGCCAGACTCCTTTTCCAATTTTGAACCAATCAGTGGTTCCGAAGCAAAACATAAAGCTGGTTAAATTAAGTTTAACAGAATTTTCTTTAATTTTAATTCTGGCTCTAAGGCAGGCATGTCAAACTCATGACGTCACGTGACATCACGCAACATATCGTGACTTTTCCCTATTGCTGGCAATGGGGTGGGCACGGTTTCAACGTGACACATCCGGCCTTCGGGCCAGCAGTTTGACATGCCTGCTCTAAGGGAACAAGGAATGGGTTGGGCAAGTAGCAGATTCAATGATTCATGACTTTATATCTCTAAAAAAATAAATAAAAGGAAAACATGAACATCCCATTGAGAAAAACTGAAAAAACTATGCATGCTCATATTTATCTTAAACTGTCCTAAACTTGGCTTCCCTATATCATCCCTAGCAGTCTTGACTTGGGATTCTTAGCACAAGTCCCACAAAATTACTGTTAAGTCATCACCTTGCCTACTTTCTGACATATTCAGGTTTTGTTTTTAATTCCTGGATGTACAATATACATGCATTGTCGGTACTAACCCTCCTTCTTTTTATTGAAATTCAGTGGCAACCACGTATAGTTTTAAGCCCTTTGTAACCTGTTCATCCACAACAGTAAAGTGAGAAAAGCATACCAAAAGAATGCTGCAGCAGATAAAAATTGCTTCCTTCTGGTTAATATCCTACATGGCAGAAGTAGCAGCTTTTGGAATCTGTTTACCTGTGCACCTGAAAGATATAATATAATAAACTCCAATACTATTAGATCTCATGGAAGATTTAATACTGATGTATTTTCTTACCATTTGATCTGGAAAAAAACATACTTAAAAAAGATTATAGATGTCACTATAGTTACATATGCCTGAAGAACATAGAAACAGAGCTGGATTCAGGAGTGATTTTTGAGGGGGGGGGTTGATTAGGCAAAATGGCCCGAATGGGCCTTCTCCCCTTATTCCTGCTGACATCACTACTCGTCCATTTCCCCTTCTTCACTTTCCAGATGGGAAAAATGAGCAGGAGTTGTTGTTCTTTGCTCCTATCAGTATTTCCTTCATTAAAATAAATAAAGAATAACAAAGGAACCCCAAATTTAGTAGTAGTGCTATTGAGCATTAGAGTGATTCCTCATGTCAGGATTATACAGAAGCTAATTTCAGTCCTCACTATCTAGGTACATTTAGATCTGGTTTGACCACAAAATAGTGCCTTTTGACACTATTTAGAAATATAGGTCATTAGGTATTATTGAACAGTTGGAAATATTTATACAAATAATAAAGAGGTTATACAAGTTACCTGGGAAACCTGACCAACTGAAGTATGGATAGGCTGTAGGAGCCCTTCCTAGATTTTGAATACACATAGGCAGTCTAATCAATGCCAGGAAATCTTATAATTTTTTTCTACATATGAGGGGCATCCATTTGCATACTCTTGAATTAGAAAGACTCACTATATTAATGTTTTTCAAACTTGACAACTTTAAGACGTGTAGACTTCAACTCATAGAATTCTGGGAGTTGAAGTTCACACATCTTAAAAGTTGCTGAGGTTGAGAAACCCTGCATTGCATGTTTCCCAGTGTGGTGCTCTCTATTATCCAAGTCACTGTAGCTATGCAGAACAGGACTTCTAGTGTCAACTCTCTCAAGAGCCCCAATTCTTTAGAATTCCCCAGGTCAGGAAATGGTAAGCTAGATTTAAATAGACAAAACATAAAAATACTTTAAAGCCAGTAAACAGCTTCTAAGGTTAACTAAGAGGGACTTTTATTCTTCCTATACCCTCAATTAAGTGCAAATTAGGTTGTTCTGCCTTTCAATTGACTTGCAAAATACTTCATTATTATGCCAGCTAATCTCCCAGTTGGACTGTTAAGTAGGACAAACTGACCGATTTTATTTTCAAGGGTTCTCTGCCAATAAAAACAATGCTGACAGAAATGATATTATGAGGAATATGAGCTCCCAAAAACACAGAATGAGGCAGAGACATAAAGATTTAATCCACAACCTGCAGATATGAACTTAAACCATCCTTCTCATGACCATTTCCCTTTTGATGTACTGAACTTCCAGTTCTTGTAATTACCAGCCAGCAGCCTGCTGGCCTTCCTGGCTGGGAATTACAGGAGTTGAAATCCACATGCAAAATACCTGTTTGAAAAGGCAGTTTAAACTTGGGCTGTCGATGCCAATCTGCCTGTAGACTGCTCTTTTTGCACCTGCAAATCTCCTTGCCTCAGCCAATGTTAATTTTTATGCTACTTTAATTAAACTATAGAAATTGGGTGTGATGAAAGTTAGCCCAGAGAAGAAATATTAAAAAGGGCAGAAAAATATATTTTTCCTCAAAAGGACTTTTTAAAACCAAACCTGGCCCCAAATCTATCTCTCTGCCCCAAGCAAGACTTTAGCCCTATACAAATGCAGATGTAAAACCATCAGAAAGTTGGAAGCCAGAGCAATCAAGAAGACAAAAGAGAAGATCTGCATACCCCACCCAAACTCTAGGAGTCAGCCCCATCACCTGGGAAGCAGGATATGATAATAGAATTAAACCACAGATATCAAGGCCTAGACAAACACTCAGAAACAGCCTCAAGGTTCATGCCACAGGAACAGGAAACTTCCAAACAAAAGGCTAGGGGGGTATAAAACCTACTGCCCATGTGCTCAATCTCTCTCCTTCGCTCTCCTTCTCTCTCCTCTGTACTTTCCTGAAGAACCATCTTTCTGCAATAAACTGTAACCTTCCTCCCAAAGCAGTCACCATGTTTGCTTATTTATTCCCGGCTTGGATGAACCAGGATGAAGACCTTACTTCTAACAGGTGCAAAGCAGTGCACCAGCCTCAAATATAACTTGTTTCCAATAATGCATTGCAGCCCCACCTAGATCTCAGAGAATTGTTTGAGAAATTAAAAAGAAGAGCTGGGGGGGGGAGCACACCACTGCACAGCTCTTTGCTTGAATGAGAATATCCAAAACAAACAAGCAAACAGGGTAAGCTAAAGTAATAGAGAGAAACTTGAGAGAGAAGAAGGACTGGTGGAAAGCAACTTCACCAGTTTGCCTTCTGAAAAACAGGTATTTTCTGTTTAGCCAAATGCATACCACAACAATCCTTCTGAGTACGTCCCTGGCATGCACTCAAAGCTTCAAGTACATCCACTGGTCTAAAAATGTGGGCTTGACTTAAAGGAGTTCTTAACTTGAAGTCCACTAACCCTTTTATGGAGGCTGTGAATCTGGATGAGGAAAATAAATACAACTTTATTTTCTGTATCCTCTGACTGACATTTACTTTTTCATTTAAGTTGGCAACAAAATGTGTGGCTCTGAAATTCCAAAAACATCTTACTTCAATACATCTTGCTATCTAAAATTATTATACTCTTAGAATGTATTGTCTTGTTGAATATTACTAATTACATATTTGCTATTTTTAATGTTTTAGTAATGGTACTTGAATACTTAGCTTCCTTAGTAGCACAATCTATATCTAGGTAATTTATGTGCTTAGATATATTTTTCAAAAAAGGGTTCCATGTCACCAGACTCTGAAAAAGGTTCATGGCGCAAAAAGTTTAAGAACTCCTGACTCTATTGCCTGAACCAATTCCCATCATAAAATTTCTAAGCCAGCAGTTCTCAACCTGTGGGTCGCGACCCCATTTAGGGTCGAACGACCATTTCACGGGGGTCGCCAAACAACGCAGTCCGCCATTTTCCCCCCTTTTCCTTAGCTGTGCTACTCTCTCTTATTCTATTGGCTTTCAAAAGCCAATAGAATAGACTCTCTTGAATAGAGTCTAATTCTATTGGCTTTCAAAAGCCAATAGGAATTGTCCAGGCTGTCTCTGCCCTGCTGAGCCCGCTAAAAGTCCCAGTCTGCAAACGCTGCTGCAAGTTGTCTGCAGCTAAGGCGAGCTTTCTGGATGTTTCCACCCCTCCCTGCTGAGCAACTACTAAATGTAAGTAAAAGAGGGCCAGGGGTGGGAGGTGGGAGGCCGGTGGGCGCAGGGAGGGTTGCTGGCGCGCATGGGGCCTGGCAGGTAGCTTACCTCCCTTGGGCTGGGCCAGCTGGTGGCCCAGCCGGTGGTCACCCTGCGTCCTCGCTGCCGCATGCCATGGCCACCCAGGAGCGCCTGGGCCTGCCTGCCGCCGCACCAAGCGTGCAATGGCCAAGGTAAGGCTAGCGGTGCAGTGGTGGGCACAGGGAGGGTTGCTGGTGCACATGGGGCCCAGTGGGTGCCTTAACTCCCTTGGGCTGGGCCAGCTGGTGGCCCAGCTGGTGGTCGCCCTGCACCCTCACTGCCGCGTGCCATGGCCACCCAGGATCGCCTGGGCCTGCCTGCCGCCGCACCGAATGTGCGGTGGCCAAGGTAAGGCTAGCGGGGCAGCGGCGGGCGCAGGGAGGGTTGCTGGCACGCGTGGGGCCCGGCGGGTGACTTACCTCCCTTGTCTGGGCCAACTGGTGGCCCAGCCGGTGGTCGGCCTGCGCGCTGCTGCCGCTTGCCAGCTACACCTTGGCCGGCGCAGGGGGTGGCACCATGCATGTGCGGTGCTCCTGGGCCAAGGCAGTTGCTGGGCAATGGCCTGCGTGCACCCTCGGCCTGCCCAGCGTGCACTTCAGCCACAGAAGGAGGCAGAGCGTGCGCGCCTCCTCCTGCCCGCCCGCAGGGAAATACAGGTAGTCCTCGACTTACGACCACATGGTTGGGGGTCGCGGCATTAGGAAGGTTGAGAACCACTGTTCTAAGCAGTGCAAGGAAGGAGTTATTAAGGGCTTTCTATATCTCTGCCCTGTGGCTCAGCACAGCTGGCTCATCCCTAAATCCTACAGCAGGAGCCCCTACAGGAGAGAGGGGGTCAAAAATGCGAAGAGACTCTGCAGCTGAAACCCATCCTTTTTACTATAGTTCAAGAAGAATTTTTTTTCATCATTTGTAGATTTCTAAAGACAAAAGTTCTCTTATATCAGTTCATAAAAATCGTCAAATTTATTCCAGAATAAAACCATCTCATCTTTCAGATATATAGCTCAAATCTCATTTTTCAGTAATTCCATGACCCATAGAATAATGATTGTACCAATAAGGCCTATAAAAATTATAATAGATGGTTCCAAAGCAGTTGCCATTTATAACATATATACTTGCAATATGACTACAGTATGTCATCTTTGCAGTTACATTACTTATATTGGACCTCTGAATGTCTACTTCATTATCAAAATTAATTTCCAAAGCTGAAGAAAAAAGGAAGCATCTAGCCATGCACAGGTTTCCTTTAATTACTAAAGAAAAGCCACAACTGCCCCCAACTTTATATTAGCAGGTCAAAAATTCAAGACAAAAGGCCTTGATTCACACAAGGAATAGAGTTCAGCATTCCTTCTTTTAGAAGTAAAGCCCTGCTCAATTTCAGCTTCCCTTTACCCTCATTGCCTGGATTTGTTCAGTAGGATATATTAAGCTGAAATAAAACAGGAAAGACATGGCACAAGATATTGTAGAAATTCAACCCCTGTTGCAATGTGTTATGCAAACTGCACCATCCCCCAATACCTCGTATATGGTTTACCTGGCTGGGCACAAGAACATGTAATGCAAATATAACAACTATAGGTTGTTGACTTACAACTATTCATTTAATGACTATATGAAGTTACAGTAGCATTGAAAAAAGGGACTTATGGCCATTTTTCACACTTATACTGGTTGCAGCATCCCCACATATTCAAAATTCAGACATGTGGCAACTGGCATATATTTATGACAGTTGCAGTGTCTGGGGTCATGTGATCACCTTTTGTGACCTTCTGATAAAATCAGTGGGGAAGCCAGATACACTTAACAACCATGTTATTAATTTAACCACTGCACTGACTCACTTCACAACTGTGGCAAGAAAGTTCGCAAAATGGGGCAAAACTCACTTAACAACTTGTCTTGCTTAGGAATGGAAATTTTGGGCTCAACTGTGGTCGTAAGTCAATGATTACCTGTAGTTTAGGATTTTGGTTCTAAGAACCCAGTTAAAGCATAAACCAGCCCTTTTCAGGTTGTTATTTTCCCATTTCTTGACCTACAATAATCCAACTAGCAACTGAAAATCACAGCATTAGGAAAAACATGCCCTTTGTTCAAATGTGAGTTTTTAGTAGATGCTTATTGACTTCCCTCAGGACAATATTAGCGGAAATGTTAACACATCCTGGCAGTTAGATGAGGGGGAAGGAATTCACACTGCTCTGCTAATCCCAGTAACAACCCAGCTTGGAGTACTTTCTACTCTCTTTGGGCATTGTATGTCCTACACCACAAAGCTTGATAAAAAGATAACCGAGAATCCCTGCTGATTGCTCCCACCAAAAGTTAGGTATTCATCCATCACTCTTTCAACTTCCAGGAACATAAACTATAGTTTCTGAGACAAATGTCCCTTTCCAATTACTTGTTAGTAGCAACTGCTCAGAATCTGAGAGCAATCAATTGTTGCCTTTTCTGAACACTAAAATAAAGCAAACCAGATTGGATTTCTGGAAAGTTTTCTGCAACGTGCCCAGTCCTTTCCAGCTGAACCACAGGAATCCTTTCTGCCTACCTAGTTATTTCCATCCTGGCTGTTTCCTCCTCCACTCTGTCACCAACAGGTGGATCCCACCCGTGAGAGGAATTAGTTTCAAGCGGAGGGGGCGAGCTTTCCTAGGGCCATCTATCTGCAAGGGAAAAGAAGGGAAACCCACGCAATGCCCACGGCGCCTTGCGGAAAGGCCCAGGTCTGGGCCCTCTGTTCCACCCACTCGTCCTGGCGAACTTTAGTCTCCAGCAGGAAAAAGGACTGCTTAGTAGCGAATAATAGGCCAACTTTTCCCTTCAGGCATACGGGGCTGCAGCTCCATCAATGCCAGCGGACAATACCTGTTTGAAGAAAACTGTGCCAAAACTAGATTTCTGTCACTCAGTGATACTTTTTTGCACTTCCCAGCTTAAGATCACTACCCTCCATAACCATCACCGCTCCACTCCAAGCCAACCGTCCCTGTAGCCCACCAGTCTTGTGTGCTGGACTGTCAATATATATATGCTCGGGATCCGCTCCAAAAAGCACCACTTGCACCGACAACCACTTTTACATTCGCCCTGCTGCTTCTGCTGCCGCCGACTCATTTCGTCGGAACAACCGTTCTTTATTCACGTTCCCCACTTCTTACCTGACCAACTTCATTTTTCCCTCTCACTATTCCTGCATTTTCTTAAAATCAAATAATGGGCTATTCTGCTAATTCTTGTCTTTCAGACCCTGGACCCTGCCGCCAGCTTTCCGCTTACTTTGCAACCTTCCCGCTTTTCTTACCAAAGCTTCTGATCTAGACGTCCCCTTTAAGACAACCCAATCTCCACTGCTGACTTCCTCTCATAGTTTTTTTAATCATCTTTCCAATGACCTACTTCCGTTTAAAGATAAAAGCCGCGTGGGCTCTTGGGAAACGTAGTTCCGATTCTGAACCTAAGGTAGTAACTTGTACGGATAAAGTTTCATCTTCGTGTTTTGGTTTCCGTGCGTCTTATTAATCCAAGTTTAGAATTTTGCTTGTGAGAGCCTAGTTACTAAATATACCTGCTTGAGAACATAAATTAGCGCTTTCCAGTTTGTTGTTTTCCCATTTCCTGGCCTACAGAATTAAATCCTGTTTATGCATCTTTCACTTACCCTGTTAGTTGATATTAAAGTCATATTTGTAGCGCTCGATACAAGTAGAAAATTTATCATCCCGATTCTGTTATGACTTACGAGACTGGAGTTGGAATGTAAATATCACCAGGAATGGATGCTCTCATTAAACAGCAAGCCTATATCCTTACAGTAATTAAAAATAAATGCTATGGAAAATAGATTTCTGAGTAAATGCCAATCAAAGGAAGCAAGGAGTAGGCTTTCATCCCCGTATATGAGAAAAGAAAATGTACTAAAAAGAATGACAGAGCATGTGGCTATTTAAATCAGGCTTGTTAATAACCCACCCCCATTGCAACTGCCTGCATATATTATTATGTTGTTTTCCTAGGCTATTGTTGAATGTTGGAAGCACTCTTCTCAGTAACTCTCTTTTTTAGAGAAGAGCTGAGCATTTTTATTCTGCCAGCCTACTCGGTTGCCTGCATGGGTTTCCATGTAATTCCTTCATGTAATTCCTAATCTAAAATAAAAAGCTGGTACTTAAACATAGACTGAATTGAAATAAACTAATTCTCTATATAAGGCGTAAGAAAACATTTTACTTTAGAATGAACACAGGGATATAGTTATGTAGGAGTCACTAGCAATGTATAGTGTATGTAGTGAGTATACATGAAGGAAAAAAGCATTATCTGATAATGCTTATGGGAGTGATTTGGTGTGTTGGATCCTATTTGGAATAAAAAGCATATTATACAATTCGTTTCAGAAATGTGATTGGAATGATCCGAATTCTGTATCCAATCCCCCAATCAAACACATTCTGTTATAAAGTCACTTTAATTGATAATTGTTGTTTGAGTGTTTTCATTTTATTCCAAGCTTCAGTATTAATATTATTTCCTATTAATTGCAATAGTAACCTTGTAATACAGTAGTTATAATAATTTATTTTGATTCAAGGCTATCTTTAGCTTAAAAAAAAGCTTTGTATACATTACAGCATAACCTTTTGCAGATTATAAACCAATGTTATTAGATGTATGAAATATAATAGTTTAAGACATGGATGTCCAATCTTTTGGCTTGCCTGGGCCACATTGTGTCAAGAGGAATTGTCTTAGGCTATATATATAATATGGTGAATATATATATAAATAACAAACTTCCTTTTTAAAAAAAAATTATATCTTGAGGGGCCACATTACTAGCTGTCATGTGGGCTGTGGGTTGCAGGTTTAAGAGGATGCAGATACATTCATGAGATTAAGTGGAATGGAAAGAAGAACAAGGAGTGAGGGGAATGGATTGTTGATAGGTGCAAAAATTATAATAACTTTATTGAACGTAGTCACCCATGACTATTTAAAATCTACTCTTCCATAACAAAGGTGATCTGTGTAGTTCTTTTCCTCAGAATGGTTATCATAAGGTCAGTGAAATAATACATTTTAATCTTAGAATCATAGGGCTGGAAGGGATCCCCAGAGGTCTTCTAATCCAACCCCCTATTCAAGGTAGGAGCCTTATACCATGTGAATTAAAAGGCTGTCCATTCTATTCTTCAAAAACTTCCAATGATGGAGCACCTGCAACCCCAGGAGGCAAGCTATTCCATTGATTAATTGCTCTCACTATCAGACATTTTCTCCTTACTTTCAGATTAGATCTCTCTTTGACAAGTTTCCATCCATTACTTCTTGTCCCACCCTCTGATGCCTTAGAGAGTAAGTCAATCCCCTCTTCTTCATGACAACTCCTCAGGTACTGGAAGACAGTTACCATGTTCCCCTAATCATTCTCTTCAATAGGTTAGATATACCTAGCTCCCTCAACAGTTTGTCATATGATTTAGCCTGCAGACCCATTATCATTTTTGTTGTTCTTCTCTGCACACTTTCCAAGTCACAACTTTTTCTATTGTGAATAGAATGCAGTATTCTAAATGTAGTCTCATCAGCATGGTGTAAAGTAGTACTCACACTTTTTGCCAGGACTGTTAATGACTTTTTTGGCAGCTGCACATACTGCTGGTGCATACTTAAGTGATGGCTCACTGGGAATTGATAGTGGTGGTTCATTAGGACACCTCAGTTCCCTTTCTCAGATCCAGGTACCATCTATTCTATATCTGTACATTTGGCTTTTCTTGCCTGTGTGTAGGACCATACTTTTCTAACCCCTGAATTACATTTTGTTGAATAGAGTAGAAAGAAAAAACAAAAAGACGCATAGGAAGATTTCCTCAACTATATGTCTCTAAAGAAGAGGAAAAATATACAAGATGTTATATCTGAATAAGCAATGCAAAGAAATTGAGAATTACAACCAAATAAGAAGATCAAGAAAAATTAGAAAAATAGAAAAGAAACCTGTTGGCCAAAACACAAAAGTAAGAAGGTAGAGATCTAATGGGAAAAGAAGATATAAAGGAGAAATAGTGCATAGAATTATGCAAAAGAGACTCAGAATAAATGATATATGTGAAAGTTTATTCACTGAACTAGAGGACTTCTCATGAATGAAGGCGAATATACAAGTCCCATGATAATTTTGCAGGATCCAATCTGGGATGGTCACCAGGGCCAGAGGTTTGGTTTTCCAAGCTTTCGGACTCATGCTGGAGCCTATCTTTATCCCCCCCCTTCCCCAACGAGGGTGTCAGAAGTAAGTCTTCCTCCTGGTTCATCCAAGCCGGGAAAAAATAAGCAACATGGCGACTGCTTTGGGAAGAAGGTTACAGTTTATTGAAGAAGCAGAAAGATGGTCCTTGCAAGAAAAAGCAGAGGAGAGGAAAGAGGGGTTGAGCACATGGGCAGTAAGTTTTTATACCCTCTCTAGCCTTGTTTGGAATAGTTTCCTGTTCCTGTGGCATGAACCTTAAGGCTATTTCTGAGTGGTTTTCTAGGCCTTGATATCTGTGGTTTAATCCTATTATCATATCCTGCTTCCCAGGTGATGGGGCTAATAACTCCTAGAGTTTGGGTGGGGCATGCAAATCTTCTCTTTGTCTTCTTGATTGCTCTGGCTTCAATTCTCTGATGGTTTTACATCTGCATTTGTATGGGGCTAGCTCTTGCTTGGAGCAGATAGATAGATTTGGGGCCAGGTTTGGTTTTAAAAAGTCCTTTTGAGGAAAAATATATTTTTCTGCCCTTTTAATATTTCCTTCTCTGGGCTAACTTCCCTCAATTCCCGCTTTGTGCCTTAAGTGTGAGAATGTCATACTTATTGGCACAACATTAAAATTGATCTGGTCAGGGAGACTTGGTAGGCAAACTTTAAAACTGTTAAGCCAAAAAAAAAAAAAGACATTAATGGAGGCAGCAGAAAAAGGTCCCTTTAGTGGCTCCCAAAAGGGGAGCTTGCACCCATAAAGTTCTAAAAGTCAGGGCAAAATTTTGTTAAGTGGAAAAGAAATTTATAGTGTCCAATATTCTGTGCCAATCATTTTCAAATGTTGGATGTCACTTTTAGCTTCCAGTCAGATTTGCATACCTCCCAAAATTCTTCACAGCCATGGTTTTCCTTAGTACATGACTACTGGCTGCCCATTTTCAAGGGTTGTTTCCTGCCTTAGCTCTTAGTTCAGTGCATCCAGGTTTGTAATGTCCAATTGAAGTTAGCCAGCATGTCAGGCTATTAAATTGCACATAATGAGCTCTAGGAATTCCAATCTGAGCCCAACAGTGCAAGATATTCAGGGCTGAGATTTGGGATCTCTTTCCTATTGCTTCCTTAATCAGGGCATAAGAATTGCAAATCACCTGAGGGGGCCTAGTTCCCTCCCCCTTGGAATTTTCAGGAAGTTGTGCTTGCAAAGCTTTGGTGCAATAGAGCAAAACATCAGCCTGGGGGGAAATTTACTAAAGGTAGGTGGAGGGGGTAGACTCAATGTGATTCTGAATGGTGTGTGTGTGCGCACATGCAGCTATTTCTACAAAACAGGCAATACAAACATTCTGGATAAATTTTCCCTCCCACCAGATAGAAATCCAAGGTGTTCAGTACTTGTTCTGCCAACTATTCCCAAATGCCATCTCTCCATTAATACATTCAACTGGCTTGTTACAATACAAATGGGGCAAGAAAGAAAAGTTTACAATGAGTTTCCACCCTCCCCCCACAATCTAAATTTCTCTTCTGAGGCTTCACATGGCACCAGTGGCTCCAGGACTCCTTCCTTCTGCAGCTCTCACAGGCATCTGGGGAATGGTAGGACTGGGAAGATGTTCCACTCAGATTGCATGGTGGCTTTTTAGTGGATGGCTGGATTCAAAACCCAATTCCATGGCTCAGATGGATGGTGGCAGCATCTGGGTCTGTGTGTTCTGCTTCCAAAGGTTTGGGGGAGGATTGCAGGGCTGAAAGATACAAGAACAAGGTCTCCCCCCCTTTCTGGGTGGACTCTTCCAGGAGAGGCAGACAAAGGTATGGAGAACAGAGAACAAAGGACAAGAAAAGAATTGGAAGGGGGGTAGCTTGCAGGCAGTTTGAAAAGGCATTAATACCTGCAGTTATTAAAGAAACAGACAAATGAAGAACAACAAAATAAAATGTTTCACTTTTGAACTTGACCATTCGCAACATATTAAGGACAAGAACTTGCAACTTGAAAGAAAAAAAAATGCTAGGCAGCTTGAGAATGCTGAAAACTCCAAATAATTTTAA